CATCTTAATCACCATGAACATATTGTATTGAGAAGATACATAGCAATCAAAGATCTAATCTCATATAGCAGATGGGGAGTGTTTCTTCATACTTTCGGTGTAACCCTAAATCTCTTCGAGTACGGGTACTTATAGATTCTTCAAGAAACTCTCTCCATAAAAGACTTTAATTGTAGAAGGTAGGACTATAAAAGGGGAATGTAATCTCAGAAGATTAGGTCCATACCTTTCTTGAAAATATACGTTGATCTTCTTTCCAAACTTGTCTGATAATACCGCGTAAGCCTTTTAGAAATCAGCTTCCTAAATCAGATCTTCAGTGTCAGTCCTTCTGTTGTTGCTTCTGATTGATCAGTCGACTGTAGAGCTGGACGAACAAACTCTAAACCTATCTTAGTTATGCCATAATAATATCGTCAATTATAATATGGGGTTTTTGAACATTAAAAACACTAACAGTCTAAACTCATAAATACAATATTCATCACAATAAAATTAAAAAGAATATTATGATAAAGAATTGGATATGATACATCTACAATTCAATTTTCATGGATGAAATATTTTCACAAAATAAAAATAAAGTAATTAATAAAATATAATATACAAACAACTTGCTAAAGTGCTTACCTGAAATAGTTGCGAAATATTGCATTTTTTAAATATATTTTACTACATTTAAAAAGGAATGTTAGAGGCCAATTTCATGGAATATTCTTCTAGTCTATATTGTTCTAGTATTTTCTATTACCATCAACAATTAAAAGGACTACAGTTATATATAATTTCCATAATTAATTAGTTTATATTATCATAATGTTTGTTATTTTGACAGAATATTCCATACAATTAAAAGGACTACACTAATATATATTTTTCATAATTAATTAGTTTATATTACCATAATATTTGTTATATTCACACGAAATATTATGAATTATATATAGACCAATTATATATACACGGATATTATAGAAATGCCCCTAAATTTGGGGGGAGGGAGGGGGAGAGAGAAATTTAACTAGGAGGGGATTTTACTTTTAATTATATATAGATAGATGTATATAGATTAGCAGTTGATTAGTTTTAAAAGGAATATTCCATAATATATGCACTATGCAGTATGCATGTTAATTCACTATGCAAGTTAATTAAAAAAATAATCCATAATTAATTAGTTTATATTATCATAAAAATTTATTTCCATAATTAATTAGTAAATATTCATAATATATACGTAATTTTATATATAATATATGTTAATTTACTATGCAAGTAAATTAAATGGAATATTTCATAATTAATTAGTTTATATTATTATAATATTCTTTCCATAATTAATTAATACACGAATATTACATAAATGACCTTAAATTTTGGAGGAACATTTATGTAGGAGAATTTTACTTTTAAGTATATATAGATAGATATAGATATAGATATAGATTACCATTAATAAAAATTATGAAATTATATTAAAAATTAATTATATATTAAGGTATTAATAATTTATTTTGTGCCAATAATATTATATATTAAGTATAAAAATATATATGTATATAGATTACCATAATAATTACACCGAAAAAGGTAACAATACATAATTATTAGGCAATAATATTAATAATTAATTATTAAGGCAAGTATAATTTATTTTGTACTAATAATATTATACATTAAATGTATACACACACACACATTAAGTTTATATTATATTAATTATAATTTTTGTAAATTTTGTACTAATAATATTATGCATTATTTGTTAGTTTAGATCCGTGACTTAGTCCTCGATCTGTACACTTAACTTCTGTGTTTTTGGTGTTGAAACCAGGGTTCTGTTTTGTTTTTTTATATACATCTTGTAATTATGGCAGAGGAATAAAGAGAGAGAGAGAAAAAAAAAACACTTCCCGGTTCGGCAAAGCGCTTCGTTGCTTGTGAGGAGAAGAAGAGTTTAATTTCTGATAAGAAAAACGCCGGTCGTTCCTTACTGCCGGAAATTAAGAAATTAGCTTTGTAGTCAATGTTACCCGGGTCTCCATCAACGCCCAATCCGTTGGATCCAGCGGCACTAAAAACTCTTCAAGCTACAATTGCAAAATAATAATAATAATAATAATAATAATAATAATAATAATAATAATAATAATAATAATAATAATAATAATAATAATAATAATAATAATAATAATAATAATAATAATAATAATAATAATAATAATAATAATAATAATCTTGAAATCTGTAAAAAAAAAAATACTTACGTTTTCATGAATGCAACACCAAGATATGATTCTACAGAGAGAACATGAAGAAGAGGGAAACAGTGCAAAATGAAAAATTATAATTTCCAAACTCAGCAATCAATTGTATTTATAGGTAGAAAATATGAGAATCATAAACTTGTATAATATTTCAAAAAGGAAAGGTGTAATTATGTAATATTACCAATTAATAACTTTTAATTCATTTCCATTTTACATTTGCTTACCAAATAAGTTTTGTGCTTCTATTTTTAATTTTTGTGACGAAAAAAACATGTAATCACTATAGAAAGATGTGCCCTGAATAGAGGTAAATATTACTATAAAGACTTGATGCATTAGGCTTAATTGAGAGGTTGTTGCCAATAATTAGACTCGTAACCTTTTAGTGCGAGAATCGTGCTCTACCCACTTAGTCACCATGTTTAAAGTTGTGCTTCTATTGGAACCGAAACTGAAACCTTCCTAAAATAATTGTTGAATTTAGACTATTTTAAAAATAAGAAATAAAATTAACAAAAATAAATAAATAAATTTTACACTCGCGGTTCTAACCGAAACTATAACCTTCCTAAAAGGTTCCCATTCCGATTTATCATTTCCAAGAATTGTGAACTGGAATCGAATAGGTGGTTCAAATCGAAACTTGAACCTTCCTAAAAGGTTCCCGTTACGATTTGTCATTTCCCATAACTGTGAACTAGAACTGGAACCAAACCGCAATCATATCTACATATATGTCATATGTGAAATTAGAATAAATGTGAAAATGATCAAACACTATTGTTAAATGATAAATCAGTTCAGTTTGATTCCAGTTTCGATTTTGAACCGGCGATCCAAAAATTAATTAATTAATTAATTATTAATTATTTATGAAAATTATATTTCCTATTTTTAAAATAGTCTAAATTCAACAATTATTTTATTTTATTTTATTTTATTTTGGTTCTAAATCATAACCAAATCCATCCCAATTTTTTCAGTTCGATTGTTACAATGTTCGGATCGAACCGTACTCATCCTTACATATAAGTAATAATTTATTGGAGAAAAAAATAAATAAAATACTTATTTTTAAGAATAAAAATGTCCATTTAATAATAAATGGAGAAAATTACCAATTTAACATAACTAACGGAATAAATATGGATACATGAATAACTTAAGAGAAAAAAGTGTTATAAGCATATAACTCAAAGGAAAAGTGTCATTTTATCAAAATGAAACATAAAGGATAACGATGAAGTTAATAACCTAACCAGCTTTACTATTTAGTCTTACCTTTTTAAATGGATGAAACTCTATTCCAAGAAAAGAATTCATCTAGAAGTTCCTATATGACATCATGTCATCATTAATAGCAAGCACATGTTGGAAAACTGGAAAATATCACAAGACCATTACATTAGAGCAATCTTAGTAGTGAGGTGTTTTTTAAACTTTAACATTTACCTCATAATCTACTGTATCTTATCTAATCTTAGAAACTCTTCACCCCATTAGTTTTAAATTCTTTATAAATTTTTTATGTACCCACAATTTTATTACCATATTTTAATTATTTCTTTATTTATTTTAATTTTAAATTTATAATTAAATTAAAAAATAATTAATTAAAATAAACATACTTACATTTAATTGAAATGAATATTATAAAACTAAAATTAAACTATTAATTACTTAAATTTTAAAATTAATTACTTAAAAACTAAACTACAATCTTGTTAATACACATTAAAGTGCATAAATAAAATATAAATAAAACAATCAAACAATAAAATAAAAAATAAAAAATTACTATTCTTTGAATTTAAACGTCCTTTTGACCAAAAAAAAAAATACACAAATTAATAAAATTAAACTACAAAAAAAAAAAAAAAAAAAAAAATCACAACTGTGGTTACTTTTAGAACAATAGCAAACCCAACAAAGGCTTGTCATTGGCACATTTATAATTGAGCAATTCAACTTTTTTATATATTTGTCACGTTTAGTTTTACTTTTATATTATTTTATCATTTCATAGTTTAATAAATATAGACACTAAAAGGGCGTTGGACCTCGACTTTCAAAGAGTTAGACTCGAATCCGATAGCGTTGCCGCTATCAAAATGCTGGGCAATGACAATGAGTATGAAGGCCCAGGGAGTAATTTGGTGGAGCTATACAAAGCTACAAAAGGTTGAAACTGGGAGATCGAGTTCAGACACATTCCGAAGAAACAAAATAAAATTACTGATACTATTGCTAAGCATGTGCAGAATGACGAAGAAGGAGTGCGCGTCTACAAGAGTGCTACGAACCAAATGCAAAGATATATTACATGGTGCCGAGCTTAGCCTTCTTAATCATCTGAATATTGTAAAAATCACTTAAGATTTTTGACTCCCTCTTCCCAAAACAAAAAATTATACTTAACTCTGATTAACTAATTCTCAATTAAATTAATAAAATAATCCCTCAGTGAGTGGCCCACCAAATTTCTTCTTCCCTTCTCCGCGTTTTTACAAAACCGTCAAATTTCTCGGGCTGCTGTTGTTGGGTCAAACTTGCCATACGCCCACCTGGCATCGCAGGTTGCGAATTCGAGAATGCTAAACGCGGGCCCAGTTTGAGTAACGGCCCGCCACGTGTCATCCCACCTCCCATAGGCCCTAGATTCTCGGTTCGCGAAACCAACCTACCTCCTTCCTTCCCTCTCCCCTACGCTGCTCGTATATATATCTCACCGCCCTTTCGCTTCGATTTCATCGCATTTCATTTCTCCTTTCTTCGTTAAAATCTCTTGAAACAAAAAGAAAAACCTTCTGATTGTGGTTTTGGATAGGAATGGCGGCTGTTACGCTTACCGGTTTGTTGAAAGACGTCGCCGTGAAGTTCCCCTCCCGGACGGCCATCTCCGTTTCCGGCAAGTTTAATCTTAGCCATGCTCGCCTTGATCAACTCGTTGAACGTGCCGCGTCTTCCCTTGTGGCTGCCGGCGTTAAGCCCGGCGACGTTGTTGCCCTCACCTTCCCCAACACCGTCGAGGTATGTCTTGTCTATTATATGATATATATATATATATATATATATATATATATATATATATATATATATATATATATATCTCTTCTGCTTCAAATCCAGTTGTGATTGATTCTCCGATGAAATTGATTATTTGAATTTGCTATCAAGGAATTGATACAGTTGTTTAATTTGATTTTATTTTTTTTTTGAAAATTCAGTTTATAATTATGTTTCTGGCGACAATTCGGGTTCGGGCCACGGCGGCGCCATTGAATGCAGCCTACACGGCGGAAGAGTTCGTCTTCTATTTGTCCGATTCGGAGTCAAAGCTGCTGTTGACTCCCAAGGAAGGAAATGAGGCGGCTCAAGCCGCGGCTTCCAAGCTCGAGATCCCTCATCTTACGGCGTTGCTTTCCGATGCTGAATCGGATATCGCGCTCGACCCGATTCCTTCGGAGTCGGACCCTGACGCCGTGTCCAAAATCGTTAATGATCCCTCCGACGTCGCCTTGTTCCTCCATACTTCTGGCACCACGAGCCGGCCAAAGGGAGTTCCATTGACTCAGTTTAACTTGGTTTCTTCAGTGACAAACATTAAATCGGTATATAAGCTCACCGAGTCAGACTCGACGGTGATCGTGTTACCCCTTTTTCATGTGCATGGTCTAATCGCCGGGCTTCTGAGTTCACTCGGAGCCGGAGGCTCCGTCACCCTCCCAGCAGCCGGCAGGTTTTCTGCTTCAACTTTTTGGTCAGACATGAACAACTACCATGCTACATGGTACACGGCAGTGCCTACCATTCACCAAATCATATTGGATCGACACTTAAGCAAGCCCGAGCCTATCTACCCTATGCTCCGGTTCATTCGCAGCTGCAGTGCAGCTTTGGCTCCATCTGTGCTGTCTCGGCTGGAGGAAGCATTTGGCGCCCCTGTTCTGGAGGCGTATGCTATGACAGAGGCAACTCACTTGATGGCTTCAAACCCATTGCCTGAGGATGGGCCTCATCTCCCTGGTTCGGTTGGAAGACCCATTGGTCAGGAGATGGCTATACTGGATGTGAATGGTGTGCCACAGGAGGCTAATGCACATGGTGAGGTTTGCATTAGGGGTCCAAATGTTACTAAAGGGTACAAGAACAATCCCGAGGCCAACAAATCGGCTTTCCAGTTTGGGTGGCTCCATACTGGTGATCTTGGATATTTGGACTCCAATGGGTATTTGCATCTTGTTGGCCGGATCAAGGAGTTGATTAATCGTGGAGGTATGTTATAACTTATAACCCGCAATTCTTATATAGACACATCATTTCTTGCTAATTTGATGAGTTGATGATGCCTAAATACTGTGATACACACTGCATAACTTTGCCCTAACCAATAGTATTGCTATTTAGAACTTGGTTTCTCAGATATGTTGAATGTGGCCATGTGGGAATGGTTCAAGGTTAAACCTAACCTGTGACATTTTAACATTTTTGGTCAAAAGTTGGATTTTTGCCTTAGTCTGATGCCACCACACGTTCAAAGTCATGATTTTTTGTTTGCTGTTGTAGAACGGGTTTAGGTTTAAGTCTTAATCAAGTCACCAATTTTCTGTTGTGATTGCTTTTGTAACCATTTATGTATGCATGACTTGAGAAAACGACTCAGTCTCAATTACATCCCTAGGCTTACCTCCATGAGCATTAAAAAGATTGTCTTAATATACAAAAATTGCTTTTGTTGTTATTCAATGATTGACACAGTTTCCAACTTATAATTTCAGGAGAAAAGATATCTCCCATAGAAGTAGATGCTGTCCTTATTTCTCATCCAGAAATTGCTCAAGCCGTGGCTTTTGGAGTCCCGGATGACAAGTATGGCGAAGAGGTGAGAAAACGATCTTCTTGTCTTCATGCACAATTATTTTCATGTCTTTTGTTCTGATACGAAAACCTAAGATACCCACTTTTGTTATTGCCCTATTGGTTACAAATGAGATGGTGATCACATCAATCAGTTTTTGCATCTTTCATCAACTTAATGAAATATGCTTATGGAATTTAATACCGTGCCAACTTCAAGTTCTAAATTATTACCATTGATGGAAACATGGATAGCTTGCAATATACTATAAGCAGTTTGATTCCAAATATATATATCTATCTCATATTCTCATGCTTGCAGATAAACTGTGCCATAATTCCAAGAGAAGGGTCAAACATCAATGAAGAAGAGGTGTCGAAATTCTGCAAGAAAAACCTTGCCGTGTTTAAGGTTCCAAAGAAGGTGTTTTTAACAGATTCTCTCCCTAAAACTGCCACAGGGAAAATCCAGAGAAGACTTGTAGCCGAACACTTCCTCGCACAGATCTCTACGGCTAAGGTCCCCAAGTTTGGCGCCTGAAAAACACTTGCTGCTGATCCTCAATTGTTGGAAGACCCGTTGGTTCTCTATTGTCTTCTTATACTCGTAGTACTAGGACGAACGTTAGTCCTAGATTTTTTCGTTTTTTAAATATCTTTATTCTACAGCTACATTATTTGTAGAATAAACCATGAAATGGGGTACAAGGTAGCAAAATGATTGTACCCTTTTAACTACAAGTTTGTATCAGATAGAATTGGATGGAACTATTGGTTATAGCTTTGTTCGTTACCCCGGAGGTTCAACCTTGTTCTTGTTGGAAAAATACATAAAATGAAATCGTGATTATTTTATGTGAGATCCACTCTCGATTTGGGTTGAGTCAAAATGAATTCGAGTTTTTCATAGTGAAACAAAAAGATTGATATATTATATGCTTAAAGTGGTTAATGAGTAAATAAAAAATTGATTCTCAAAGGAAATCAATTTGGTGGAAAGGCTTTAAAGTAGTCTTTATTCCACATTGATTTGAAAAGTAGGATTGTACCACTATCTACATCTATCTACACTTTTAATAAGAGCGAATAATGTTAGGCCCCTTAACTGGAACAAAAAAATGTCGGTCCTATTGTTTCTTAAAATGAATGGTTAATATTATTTTGATTTTAGTAATTTTAAGATTTTAGTAATTTTAATGATTTTCCTTATTTATCCTCTATTATATTATTTTCTTCCCTAAAATAGCCTTAAATTTCGTTAGTATAAACTTTATTAACGGAATATTCCGTTAACTATTTATTATTCTTAACATACTCATTAATTTATATAAGTAAGGTCTTAGGTTCGAACCTCATCCCGATTAAAGTTGGCATAATTTTTAAACATATATTATGAATATGTTACAATGTATTAAAAAAATATATAATATAAAATTAAACATAAACTTTGATCAAGTAATTAGCCCGACTAAATACATAGCATTCAAAGTTGAGCATTAAAGATTATAAATCGAGAACTTTAAAAATCATTTGATTTTCTTAATTTAAAAAAAAATAAATTTAGACTAAAAGTAGTATTTATTTAGACTATCACTTTAAAACTAAGTATTTGGACTAGAGTTATTACAAAATTGCAAACATTTATTTTAGTGACAATTATAATCAATCTCTCATATATTATTTTCAATTTATATACTTTAAATTACCGATTTAAATAAACAAATTCAATATTTATTTACCTATGCATAAACATCTCTTATATAATATTGCATTGATATACTTTAAAATACTTATTTAAAAAAACTAGTTTATATATATACACTAATAATACTCAATGGCTTTTTAAAAAAACTAGTTTATATATATACACTAATAATACACTAATAATACCGATGATTTTTGCATTCCCTATCACGCGATTCGTACTAATAACCCAAAACCTTTTTCATTGCTTGTGCTTGTTAATTTTTTCCAGAAATATTATTTTCTTAATAATATTTCGTCAAACAGTTCCATTAATAACACATAAATATTTAACAGGCACATCAATAGAAAACAGAACCAGTACACGCAAAAGAATTTAAAACCCATAGACAATCAGTCAAGCCACAACAGTGATCAAATAGAAAATTGTAAAACCTTGTCAGCTATCCCTACAGCACAAGTGCATGCAAAACTCAATCCCATATAAAGTATACCATATTGAACTTACTGTTAAGAGTCTAGAAGTTCTTCCTCCTCATCTTCGTAGTCATACCCTTCTTCATCTGCAGTTGCATCTTGGTACTGCTGGTACTCAGAAACCAAATCGTTCATGTTGCTCTCTGCTTCGGTGAATTCCATCTCATCCATTCCCTCCCCGGTGTACCAATGCAAGAAAGCCTTTCTGCGGAACATGGCTGTGAACTGTTCACTCACCCTGCGGAACATCTCCTGGATTGAGGTGGAGTTTCCAATGAATGTAGATGCCATCTTCAGACCGGTGGGAGGAATGTCACACACGGTGGACTTCACGTTGTTGGGGATCCACTCAACGAAGTAAGAAGAGTTCTTGTTCTGCACATTGATCATCTGCTCATCAACTTCTTTGGTGCTCATCTTGCCACGGAACATTGCAGAAGCAGTCAAATAGCGCCCATGGCGAGGATCAGCAGCGCACATCATGTTCTTTGCATCCCACATCTGTTGAGTGAGCTCAGGAACTGTCAGAGCCCGGTACTGCTGTGACCCACGAGATGTGAGCGGAGCAAACCCAACCATGAAGAAATGCAACCGGGGGAATGGAATAAGGTTCACTGCTAGCTTGCGGAGATCAGAATTGAGTTGCCCAGGGAAACGCAAGCAACAAGTTACACCACTCATGGTGGCAGAAATCAAGTGATTAAGGTCCCCAACTGCATCAAGAACAATCCACTCAAACAGGTTTAACTTATTGAATGTTCATTCAGAAAACTCTATCAATCATAGATGCATCAGAATACAAATAATACAAATAACACAAAGACCAAACTCAAAGTTTGAGTGTCCATGAAGTATTATCCAATCAGGCAATCAGAAAACATACATAACAGATTCAACACAAACAAAAACAATTCTACAATAGGGTAACCCAGCAAAGTTAGTCAGGCTTTTGACTTGAAAACCACAAGATTACAAGTTGACTCTTAGCATGATCAGCCTAAGCCGACCAGTTCATAGCAACCTAAACTAGTTTACCCACTTGTGATTCTACCACAAGGAGTGTTTTATCCAATGCACATCATGGGTAATTGGGTAGTGGCAACAGGTTTCCCTACAATTCTACAATAAACCGATGCTTAGATTCGAATTTCAAACACCTTTTCTTTCAATGAAATTACTAATGAGTAATGACAACTAAGCTCACATATACTCCAACACGAAAAAACTAATGTGATAAGAACTTTCATGCATGAGCACATAGATGATTAACTCTAATGAACAGAAATAAATTGAGACAACAGCAATGAACTTACAGCTTGGAGTAGTAAGTTTAAGTGTCCGGAAGCAAATATCATAAAGAGCTTCGTTATCCAGCACCATACACTCATCTGCATTCTCAACAAGTTGGTGAACAGAGAGAGTAGCATTATATGGCTCAACAACTGTGTCTGACACCTTAGGAGAAGGAAACACGGAGAAAGTAAGCATCATCCTGTCGGGGTACTCCTCCCTAATCTTGGAAATAAGGAGGGTTCCCATTCCTGATCCAGTCCCACCACCCAATGAGTGGCAAACCTGAAACCCTGATATTAAAAGCAGACTTAAAATTCATCAGAACAATATACAAAAACCAATAAACCATAATAACGACGCTTTAATTTAAACTTCAACATTTAAGCTCGTAGTAATTTTTATGTTATGGCGAATATAGAACACGGTTTTATAGTTTGAACAAAGAAGAACTGATTGAACTCACACTTAGAATTTCCACTAAAATGCTGAAATTCATAAGGCGAACTATAAATTCACATTACGATACATATGATTTAGATGCTTTAAAGACCAGATCTAACACGAACAACAGTATGTACGTAAGAAATATTAATCGAAAAGGATAAAATACCTTGAAGGCAATCACAATTCTCTGCCTCTTTCCTGACAACATCGAGCACGGAGTCAATAAGCTCTGCTCCCTCCGTGTAGTGTCCCTTGGCCCAGTTGTTACCGGCGCCGGACTGGCCAAAGACGAAGTTATCGGGCCTGAAGATCTGCCCGTACGGCCCAGATCTGACGCTATCCATGGTTCCAGGCTCGAGGTCCATGAGCACGGCGCGAGGAACGAACCTCCCGCAGCTGGCCTCATTGTAGTAGACGTTCACGCGCTCCAATTGGAGGTCGTTGTCGCCGCTGTATCTCCCGGTGGAGTCGATGCCGTGCTCGGCGCAAACCACGTCCCAGAACTTTGCTCCGATCTGGTTGCCGCATTGGCCTCCCTGAATGTGCAAAATCTCACGCATCCTTGCTGTTTTAGAGAAAGAAACTTGCCTGCACGGAGAGAAGTAGGGAGAGAATGGAAGCTCCGGAACTCAAGCTGCTACTATGGAGTGAGACTGAGGGAATCGAAGAAATTTGCTGGGTTTATATTGATAGAGAAGAAGAAAACAGAGTCTCATTTGCCGTTATAACGGTGACGGAGGCGATTTTTAAGTGGGAGTTTCGACTTTTTGAATTGAATTTTCGGGAGTTGAGGTGGGGTTCGAAGTTCGAACTACGCAATCGCGGGATGTGAGAGTGGACCACACGCGCAATGTTACGTCGGAAGCCGTATTGTTTCTGTCGTGCGTGCAAAGGGAAAGGGAGAGGAGGTGGCACGTGAGTTGCAATCAATGAAAAATATAGATCTGAAATCTGAACGGACTCCACAATTCCAGGTTTGATAAATTAGAGGAAGTTGTACTTTCCTTTTCGGGAATTAAAACATATCCTTCCCTTGAGTCCTTGACGTTGCTATGGAAGGAAACATTTCAACTTTAGTTTTTTTTTTTTTTTTTTTTTTTTTACTTTTTATTATTTCTTATAATATTATTTTATTATAATATGTCGAAGCCCTTTATGCTCAAATGATACATCTGTGACTTCCCTCTAAATATTACAGGATCGAACTCCGGTGATTTTAAGAATTTATCATAAATAGTGGAGAATTTGTTAATTTAATAATGTGAAAGTGAGGCTATTTTAAAAATTGAGATACGTGTGTAGTTGATGGGTGAGTTGCGACTGGGCCAGAACCGGCAGGTCCCAACAGTATCAAATCGAGTTTTAATGCCCAACAGGCAACAACGACGTAGGAACTTTATGCGAATTAATTACGGCTACCTAGTCCGAAATGGGCCTTAAATGGCGGTGGAGGTTGCGAAGCAAGCAATAACGGCGTTAAATTTGCCGTCTATGGAAGGAATTCCAGGAAGATGAAGATGGGAAGCAATACCATACGTGCTTTTCACTCCAAGCACGTGAACAACAAATTGCTTTTCTCTGACACCCACTTAAGAACTCACTACATGTGATTGGATGGTTGTACTTGTATTGTGGTAGCAGTAAACAAAAGCAAAGGGAGTGTGTGTGCCCAATTGATCTACAACAGCCGTTCATCATCATGCCTTTGCAATCAAGAAATCACTACTACTTTTTTTAATACTCCCCACTCGTAGTAATGGAGATATTTTGTGGTTTTTGGGAGTATAATTAGGAAAGAGAATATGGGGGAGAGAAAAAATAAATGAAACAAAATTGATTTTTAAAAAAAAAAATTAATTAATTGTCGCACGCGCACGCGACGCATTGGGCAGCTGTCTTATTTTCTCGTGGGACCCACTTTTATGCAATAAACCCTTCACTTGCATATGCTCATCAACTCTCTCTCTCTTGCCTCTTTCGCCGCCAACATGACACAATTTTTTCTTAGAAATTGTGCATTATCCCAGAGGTGGATGTCCTTAGAGGATACTAATCACAAATGGTCTCGTCAGTTCTCAAGTTCACATCATTGCCGGTTCGCTTTGTGCACAAGAAATCTTTATCTCTTTTGATCGTAGTCTCCAAATAACTCAATGATTAAGTAAGACAAGACTTTATAATGATCGATCAAACTAAGTTAGCCCACGGGACGAAATCACTACGTACTATTTTTCAATGCTTTGCACTTTCTTGCATCTTGGTTGATGAAGCATTCAACCCACTTGGCCACTTTTATTTTATTGTGTTGTGTTAGGTGTAGAATTGTGTTAGACTAAATATTTTTGTAGGGGTAACCACAAGCCCAAGGAATTTAGGCCATTCCCCTGTACCCCACACACAACCCATTAAACTTATTCCAATTTCCAATAGCTGCTTTGTAGACAAATCCACCAAACGTGTCTTGTGTCACACGTCTCAATATTGTTTTACCTATACTGGGATATAATGGTTTTTTGCCCCCACCAATAAAAACCTTGCAATTTTGTTCTTGGTAAATGGCAAATTAACAAGTTTATTGATTAAAAAAAATCAACTTGCATAAGTTGCAATATTTTTTTTTTGCCTCCAAATAGGTGATGAGAATTGGGGAAGAAGATAGTTACGTTGCAGAGTTGTGGGGCCTAAGGTATAGTCTACGGTTCCTAACAAACATAGGTTATGAGAGGGTGGAAGTAGAGCTTGACGCGGAGGTTGTAGTCAAGATGAAGGATAAAGAGAATAGGGGGGAGTTGACATCCAACTTGATTGTGGATTGTATTTCTATGTCCATGAGTTTTCAAGACATTGTATTTCAACATGTGTTTAGAGAAGGGAACCGCTACGCTGATTGGCGGGATAATATGGGACAATCGGGGGATTGAGGCTTAACTATCTTTGAGGATACTTCGAGGGGGCTTGAGGATTTGATCAAAGCTGATGCGGGTGGTTGCTATTCTCGCAAGATCATATGACACGATGACTTGGTAGCTTTGTGTCTCTCACCCAAAAAAAAATGATGAATATAAAAGTAATTTACTCAATGCAAACATTTCAAAGGACAACCAAACAAACAAATTATATTGTAACAAATGAAAAAAAAAAAAAAAAAAAAAAGGATCGTTTAATTCAAGACATTAGCCCAAGTACATAACATTGGGTCATTAGGGCTTGGGCTGAAAACTCAGAATGTATAGAAATGTAGCCAATAAAAAAAGAAAATCCCAGCCACGAGTTTCCCGGCAGGTTGCGGGTCGGGTCTAAAATTTCCGCCGAATAGGCAAAACCCTTGATACTCTGCTCAGGGTTTATCAATTCTCACCGTCGCCAATTCAGCTGTCATTGTTCATACCTTCTTTCCACTACAAATCTGCTTATTTCTTAAAGCTCAAGGGAGATATAGAAGTATAAAGAAGAAAGAGGATGGCGAACAAAAGGCAGAGAGAAGCTCGAAAGCGGTTCAAGGAAGCTCATCCGGAGCAGTTCCCTGAGCCAGAACCGACCGCGCCAAAAGACCCCGATAAGAAGAAGAAGAAGAAGAAAAAGAGCAACTTCAAGCGCAAAAGATCCGATTCTGATGATGTTGGAGAACCGAATAGCAAGAAATTCAGGACATCAACGCATAAAAAGCATCCTCTTAGAGTTCCCGGAATGAAACCTGGCGAAAGCTGTTTCATTTGTAGAGATAAAGACCACATATCCAAAAATTGCCCCCAAAAAGCTTCCTGGGAGAGAAATAAGGTGTGTTTTATTTATTCAACTTTTGTTGAAATGGGTATTACAAACAATATGCTCTATTGCATTCGAGTTTCTTATTATATACTAGGGTTTCTGTACTAATGAGCCATTTCTCTGTACTGCCTCATGTTTGTAGATATGTTTGCTTTGTCGGAGACGTGGCCACAGTCTCAAGAACTGCCCTGACAAGAATGATGAATCTATGGATCAGAAATTGTGTTATAATTGTGGCGAAACAGGGCATTCTTTGGCAAAGTGTCCCAAGCCATTGCAGGAAGGTAAATCAGCTTTTATTGAATGATACTTGTACAATGTATTAAAATCTTTTACTAATAGTATGATGCAGTTGCTCTTAAATTTGCATTTACTGATATAACACAAATCCTGTGCTACTCTTCTTTGCCCACAAAAGGCAAAATTGCCCCCAAGATTGTGAAGGGGTAAATCACAATGATTTAGTGACCCATTAGGCGGGAGTACCATGCCCGGTGCCCACAGCGGCTGCTAGGCTCAATCTTGCGTCCTTGGCCACAATCTGCCACCGAAGAACCAATTGAGCTACCTGTGCGGGCCAAATGCTACTATTCTTGCATAGTTGCATTGTGGAATATGGTTGTTTAGTGTATCAAACTGTACAGAGGAAATTATTGTTCACTCTTATGGTTTGAAGTTGTAATCAGAAGAGCTTAACTTAGCACGTTAATGCCATATAGTAGGATGTAAGACAGTTGTATCTTTCTTTTAGAAGCATGTTTATGTACAAGTGAATTGGTAAAAGTAAGTTGATATAGAATAATATCATAGCTGAATCTTTTATGGTTTTATATGTTGATTCTGTTTTATCCACTTCCAACAATGCAGGTGGGACAAAGTTTGCCAGTTGCTTTATTTGCAAAGAACACGGGCACTTGAGTAAGAACTGCCCGAAAAACACCAATGGGATCTATTGGAAGGTACATATGGATGTTTTTTACTGTGATTGGATTGACAGTGATGGAGATCATCAACTTCTGAAGTTACCTTGCTGAAAAAACTAGACCTTTTTTTAATTTCAGTTCACTGTACACTGAATCGTTCCACTTGCCAACATTTATTTTCAGGGTGGTAGTTGCAAAATTTGTGGTGGTGTTACACATTTGGCCAAAGATTGTCCTAACAAGAATAGCAGAGCTTCCAAGGCAACCGATGCTTCCAATAAAAGATGTAAGCAATCTAGTACTTCATCCGTATAGGTTTTCGTTGTTAACATTTTACCTCTCCTATGATGCAATTTCCAAAAGGCATCTAGCAGTCAACTTTTCCAATCATAGAGGTTTTCAGTCTTGGAAATTTTGCATGTGAATCATTTCTATTTCTCCCAGTCATTCAATCTATAAGCTATTAGGATTATTATCGCATCCTTGGAAGATCTTGACTCTACTGATTCACTAATCACGACCCGGTGTTCTAAAATCATTGACTTTCCAGCTGAGAACACAAAAGGAATCCGCGTAACTGTCTATATATCCATTTTATTTGTTGCACTTGCTAGAACTTTTCTGAGTTAGCCATAAATGGTGAACTGAGTATTTGCAAAGAAGTATTTGCTTTACATGACAAATGTGAGCCTAAAGATGTGCCAAAGTTTCCTATTAAGATGCTATAATGGGAATTCTGATCATTTTGACTTGCTTTTGTGCAGTTAAAATTGACGATACGCCTACAGGGCAAGTCACGAAATTCACTAGTGGTGATGATCTGGAAGATGACTTCATGATAGATGAAAGAAATGAAGACAGCAGTGCTAAGTTGAAAAAGAAACAGGGACCAAAAGTTGTGAACTTTGTAGGTTGAAGTACTGGATCTCTGATGAATGAACAAATATGAGAGTGTAATATTCTCTGCAATTGCAATTTTGAAATATTTGTTGTATCTTCTCATCTGCCTGGTTTAGACTATTTGAGCTTACAAGGGAGGACAAGCCCTCTCTTTTATTTGTACTCTTCTAAGTGATGGTGTGATACTTCTTTTTGGTTCAATTATCTCATTCAATTTAAAAGGGTATTTTAATAATAAAATTATAAGTAACGTCTATCTTGCCGATCGGCAGCAATGTTGATATAAAACCTGATAACATTTACCTGATATTGATCAATAGTATTTGGTACCATCATAAATTATTTCAAGAGTTAATACACAAAATATCCTCCGACTATACTGATTTTTCTTAGTTTCAAACTTATATTTATTCAATTATTTGCATTTCCATCCAATGACTATTAAATTGAAGGACATTTTGATAATTGCAAAAACTCTATTTCTTGATAATATTTTTCAGCATCATCTTCCGACAAACTCCACTCCGCCCAATAGGGAGATTGCGATAGAAACATAGATGGAAACCGGAGCTACCGCTACCGCTTTCATATATCTTTGATTCTGCCGCGATCTCTCTTTGTTAGGCGGAGTGGAGTTTGTAGAAGGAAGATGTCGAAAAAAGATGATCAAGAAAAAAGTCTTATAATTATTAAAATGTCCTTCGATTTAGAAGTCATTGGATGAAAATGTAAACGGGGGATTACATTGAGCAAAAATACACAAGTTTGAGACTAAATTACGTCTCAAAAGTCTTTTAGGATAAAATCGAGAAAAACCAATATAGTCGATGACCATTTTAGGTATCAACTCATTATTTTAATAATATAAGATAGTATTGGAAATTAATATTTGTATTGTTACTTAATAATCATTAGCCTCCTATGCTATTATATGCCAGTTGTATATTAGCCTTATTAGTTTAAGCCGATCAACTATGCACAACCTCCTTGTGATCTAGTTGATTTATCCTTATTAGTTTAAGCCGATCAACTATGCATAACCTCATTGTGATCTAGTTGATTTATTTTCTTATAAAAGTCCTTTGCAAATTGAGTTCACCTATAACGATGGTATGCTTTTTCGTAAATCAAAGAGTTTATATTGCCATGGAAAAGTCAAATGGAATTAAAAAGTGCAAGAATCTGTCCTCCATTGGTCTTCCCCCCTTCGTGCCATGCCATGAACTTCAAATAAAACATGCAGGGAACAACAAAGAAATAACAAATACTATGTGGTAATGGTGGACATGATCATATCTTGAATGACAGATTAATCTCAGCCCTTCATTATTTTCTGCCTCAGAATTCTCTCATTCCCCGCAGATTTCTCTTGGCTTATAATAACCTCTTTCTTTCTCATTCTTCCCAATATCTTCTACTCTCTCCTTCCTTTTCTCCCCCCGTCTTCCTCCCTCTCATCTGCACCCACTCTCACCTTCATCTTTCATTGCAAAACATCATGGTATCATCACTACAAACATTCATTTTTTGTTTTAATTAATCGTTTCATTAATCTAACATTTGCAGATTGCTTGGCCTCTGTGCATGCAGCCATGCATGCATATATCATATCGTGATGAGCCATGCTAAGATCCACGGCGGATCCAGAGGGGATCAATAGGGGCAGTTGCCCCCCTCCCCCACCCCCACCCCACTATATATATACATACATATATATTTTTTTTAATGAAATGCGGTGACATTTTTATAATTACAATAATGCAGGCGAATTCAGCGTCTGGAATCCTGGTGGACGACGCGTGTAAGCTGAAGTTTTTGGAATTAAAGTCGAAGAGAAACCACAGATACATACTGTTCAGGATTGATGATCAACAGGTGGTGGTGGACAAGGTGGGCGGCCATGAAGAAAGCTACGCCGATTTCACCAGCGCTCTCCCGAGAGACGAGTGCCGCTACGCGGTTTATGATTTCGATTTCACCACCGACGAGAATTGCCAGAAAAGCAAGATTTTCTTCATCGCCTGGTACGTACGTATATACTGCATGCATGCATGCATGCAAATCTGCAATATTATTGAGTGGTTTAATTTGTTGCGGGCATTTTTCAGGTCGCCGGAAACATCAAAGGTGAGGATGAAGATGGTGTATGCGAGCTCCAAGGATCGGTTCAAGACAGAACTAGATGGGATTCAATTTGAACTTCAGGCCACTGATCCTAGCGAAATGAGCCTTGACACCATTAAAGCTCGATGTCTCTGATCTAAATCCTCAGCTCCCTCATCATTTCTGCATCTATCTATCTATCTATCAATCCCCATTTTTTCCCTTCTTAATTAATTACATTATATTATTGTTGTAATGTTGTTCCCTTCTTGATTAGCTTCTTGTCTTTCCCTTTTTAAGTTTTGGTGTTTAAAATTTAAATTAAAGTTATACACTTATACAGAAAACTATACGTGTAGCCTGTAATCTGTGATGTAATACATTCTAAGGGTGTGTTTGGTTCGCATGGAAATTGGAATTGGAATCGGAATGAGAATCAAATGGTAATAGGTTTTGGTAAAAGTATTTTGCATGTTTTTTAGTAGGGTGGAATACCAATAATGCTCATAATAGGGTAAAATTGTAACGATTATCAATATTGTTGTTTGGTTTTGTACGATCTTCTAATGAAAATAAAGGTAAAATAAGACAATTTTTTCTAATATAAAGACATCGAAAGCATCATACGAACCAAAAAAATCAAAACACAAATCTAAAAGCACTAATCTAAACTTAAAAATCAAATTATCAATTAGGAGGGAGAATAATGGAATAAAACCTTTATTTTATTAAGGAATGAGTTTTCTAATTAAGTTAAGGGGTAATCAAATCTCATAGTACTGTTCTAGAAACCTGTCAACCAAATAATGTAACAATGACTTTGATTCCTATTCCTGATAGTTAAACCCATGAACCAAACGCACCCTAAAGCATTTCTATGTACTCTTTGAAACCCCTCAACATATTTGTTGTCACTAATGCATAAAACCAAACATTGCTCAGAAATAGAGCAATCTAAACCAAGTTAGTCAGACGGTTGACTTCACTTGGTAACTACAAGATTCTAAATTTGACTTTCAATAATAGCATTATATTGTCCTTCTTGGATTGAGTTAGTCAACCACGAGTAACCTAAACTTGTCTACCTCTTTGTAGTCCTTTGTTGAATAGAGTCATAAGACGGGACTTACCCAGTGCACATTCTTGGATAGCAACTGCGAGTTTCTCTTGTCATTCCAAAGAAAACACAGCTATGTTTGACCCAAATCCCAAGATGTATTGCAATGGCTACTGTTTCTATAGAAAAAAAAAAAAACGATAACTACAAGATTACAAGTTTGACTCCTAAGAGCGAGCTGTTGACTTTCTTAGTTTGAGCCGATCAGCTAGGGACAACTTAGATTAGTTTACCCCAGGTACTTTGTTGGCTAGGATCACTCAAAAGCAGTGTTGTAAAACTCAGCCTCCTCAGCGCTAGGCGGTGCCATGCCGTGCCGCTTTTGATTATAGTCGGCCATTACTCGATCAAAATCGACCGAGTTGGTCAACTCAGCCGAGTCTATCGATTTTGTCCGATTTCGTCCGTCCCATGCTGTCTTTCATTAATTATTAATTTTAATATTATTATGATGTTATGACTTATAAATTATCGTTATTTTATTTATTTGGATGTGTTATTTAATTATTGAATGTTGAAAATAGTCTCATTAAAATTGTCAAACTACAAGTCTGTCACTATTTTTTTAAATTTTTTTGGTGCCCGCCTAACACCACCTAGATTCCTCCAAGGCGCCGCCTAGACCGCCTAGGCGCTGCCCAGACGCCCGACTAGCGCATAACGCCTATTGCAACCATGCTCATGCTCAAAAGTGATATGACAAGAGTCAAGAGCAACGCCTGTATTTGAAAGGCACCCTAGAATGACATGAATTCTAATGCCATTTTCAGATCTCCAAAGCTAATTAAGATAGCTTAAACATTGCTCAGCATAGAAACATTACATACATACATTAATAGTAAGTTTGATTCATAATCCATATATATAGGGCTATCAATAATACTACTACTGCTACTGCTACATTTCTATGTCTTAGGTTCTTGGTTCTCCCAGTACTTGTTCTCCCAATGCTCTACTTGCTGTATAGTAGAAACTTTTTGTCTAAACATCGAATCGAGCTCAGACTCATAGAACGGAATGGGAGGGAAGCACGGGTTTGTGATTTTTGGTCCCGACGCCATAGATTCTAGCATGAAACTCTTCTGCAACCCGTCTGCAGAACACGCTATTGCCTCAGAGCAAAGCTCTCTCGCATTTTCAGGTATACTCGGCTTGTACCTTAGCAGCTTAGCGTATTGGTTCAAGAGATGAAACATGTAGTCGTACACGTAATCCATCTTCAAATCCTCTTCGACGAAAGCACTTGCAGCGTTACCAATTTCCTGCGCCTAATAATTAAGCAATGAATCAATTTAGTACTATTCATTTTCTTGAAATTTATTCAAGTGTACCTTTTTCTTGTGGCTGTTGCCCCAGTCGACCGCGAATTTGATAGACCTGCATGTGTCGTCGTCCCTTATAGGCCAGTAATGTTTTATGGGCACCAAACTTCTCGAGAAGAAATTGTAATAACGGGGCTTGACTAGTAACGCGAGTGAATTACAAGCGAGAATGTTCCTTTGGCTGACAGCGTAAGCAGATCCTTCGATATAAATTTTGTACCTGCAAGAAACTGTTCGGTCACATTCTGCAGAACTGTTGAATTGCCTATTGAGCATATAACCATTAATGTGCAATCCAACTATTAGCTTAGGCTTTTAGTTGAAATGGAGCACATACTTCAATTTTGCCAGACAGGAAAACCTTAAAATTTCTGAAACATGTTAAATTGGCAGTGGGGTAAAGGTAGTTCAAAATGGCCTACCTATGATTACACTGCTCTGTCAAGTCTGTGTCGTTGAATCCTTGTTCAGTTGCTATGTTCCAATCCTGTAATATGATCAGATTCCTCAATCTTTTCAAAGTTCTAGAATCCATTAGTTTTGCTTTTTTGTCACTTCAGTCCTAAGACTTTGGCAGACACCATAAAAATTCGAATATCACTAAAAAAAAAAAGAAGAAGTAACACTACTGTTCTGCATTTGCACGAAGATACATTTCTTGCATGATAAGTCGATAATGACTGCATATATATACTTTTAATTACACGAAGGCGGGCAGAATGCGTTATTAAAGCTAACCTGAGCGTAAAGACGGGCATTCCAGTCCAGATTGTCGGAGACATTGCACTTGAGGAGCTTCATCCTTTTTTCAGTAACATCGGGATTACCTTTCCAGTAAGCATAGGGCTCCCGATCTTTCCATGCTGCCTTTCTGTTCGCCGCGCTTAGGTCATATAGCAAGGACTCCCACGGCCTTAAATTGATTTCAGGCCTACCAATTTATGACAGTAAAAAAAAAAAGTCATTTAGTTTGCAAATGCCCACACTTGACTATCTCGGCTACAATCATATGATTTGGTTAATTAAACATGGCACTTATGACTTACCATCCCCAGAAGGACCAATCGGGGAAAGCTATATCCAGTGTCTCGTCATCCCCACAATACCGGAACAAAGGCGGTGGAGCTGGAGAATTTGGGTCTCGATAATCGCTCGATTTGATGGTTGGCCAGTCTAGACAATCAAACATCAGGTCTAGATCAGCCACCCGACCAGGGTACCTTCTTAACAACTGTAGAATGCCCCATAGAGTAAAAATGTCCCTAGTTTGGTAGGCCTGTGTATACGTCTCTACATACGCCCTCCCGTTCAATATTACGAGTCTGAAGTTAGCGGTCCGGTTCGCTCTCTCCACCATTTCCAAAGTTATCCCCGTCTCCCTCCATGGTTTTAAATCTTCATAGATCCAGCGGAAGTACTGGGGACAATTATAAGCGATATCCAGAGGGGTTTCAGGAGGAACGTGGTAATCTGGTGGGTAGTACTTTTTAGGGCATGTTCTTGTGAGGCTACCAAATAAGCAATTTATTGGAAATTCCCGAGTCTCAGTAAGCAGTTTCTCGTTTACCTTCAAACGAAAACACGAGGAAATAGTTAACTCTTAGTAAAATATACTCATCCAATATCTTCATCAATTGCCAAAACACCATTGATAACGCAAAACATTAACCGATAAGATAAAGTGCTGGCAGAGGCCAGTAAAGGGCCAAGTCCAGCACCCTACCTCTCGAAAATGTGGCCTGGGTATTAGCTATAGCCATTGTAACATGAAGCGTAATCAATAGTTTTGATCTATAACTACGAACAATTATGTAAAATTTGGTTTTCAATGTATGGTTCATCAAGAAAACTTACGGGTTCAGTTATGCCTAGCATTGCAGCCCATATGTATAGAAAGAACCCGAGGAGAAAGACGAAGGCGACACCAGAAATTATAACATTAGGCTTGTTTCCAACATAGTGAAGCCGGAACCTCTCTGCACTATAATGTCTATCACCTCCATGCCTATGATGATGCCCCTGCATACTATTCCCCAGCTGTCTTCTCCACCGTCTCAACGGGGCTATCCAGCAGCACAAATTACGCCTATTCGAATCCCCCCTAAAACGACCCTGACATCGAAATATAATCATAGATAAAAAGCCTTAGTTGAAGCCTGTTTCTTGGCTGGTCAATTTCCACTTTCTCTTAGGATTAGAGTATTCTATTACAGGAAGCTTTTCTTTTTCAGGGTGCCATTCTCCTTTGTATTATCAACATTCCAATGAATTAATCATGCAATTACATAAGTTTAGGATAATACATTAATCATGCAAGAACAGAAGATCAAGGGTTACTTAACTTTAGGATAATACATGTCTGATCTATCATGCAAGAACAAAACACCAAGGTTTAACCATCAAGAATCACATATAATTTACTTGCTAATTTCAAGGATCTTCAAAATACCCTCTGTCTTTCACAAACTGCACTTTATTTTTCTGGGATTTATATTAGAAAAAACAAACAAATTTCAGGATAAATAAATTTAAAAAGAAAAATTTAGGCTTGGGGTTACTCAGTTTCTTCTGATGCTGCAGGCTCCTGTACAGCATTCTCTAATTAGCTGCTTCTGTTCTTCATCTTTTCCTGTCTGATCTTTTGTTTGTGTTGTTGGACAACAGAAATTTGATCCTGGGAAGTCGAGAAGTGAGCTATTTTACCTCTGTAAAACCAAATAATTCAGTAAATTTTATGGTATTGTTAAAAATTACTACAATTTTTTTTACAGATCTCTTTCTCCGCTTGTCAGTAAAATGGCCAGATGTTTTTATGGTGTCCAAGCAACCTTTTAACTATAATCTTGGGGTTGTGCTGGTTTGTAGGCTAGTAAAAAAAATACAATAAAATTATATTTTTAAATAAAAAATTCTTGCAAGAAAAGGAAAAATAAAAAATTACTGAGATCATAGATAATATATATATATATATATATATATATATATATATATATATATATATATATATATATATATATATATTAATTCAACACAAACAAGATTGTCATCCTCACAACATATTACATGTTACCAAAGTTAGCGTCGAGCTCATTAACATATATATTAATATTATATTATTTTCTTAATATTAAATATTTTATAGCATTATATTTTTCCATCATACGGAGTATCATATACACTACATGTAACAAAATAATAGTACTCAAAAAAAAAAAAAAAAAATCATACGAGGTATCATATATTTATTACCAATATATTTTTAGGTGAACCGAATTTCAAATTTGAAATTTGAAATGGAGCTACTTACTAATTATAAGTCTCTATAGCATATGATAATGAAAATCGTCATCATTTTAATTAGTAGTTCAATCTGCTAGAGATCATATAAATCATTATGCCAATTAAGAATATCAATATCAATATATATATATATATATATATATATATATATATATATATATATATATATATATAGTTCCGGAATGAGGTGACCAAGTAGGTGGAATATGATTATTATTGTACTTAAAGATTACAAATTGGATTATTGTCAGCACTCTTTTCATCAAGCTGTCATTGCACAAAGGTTGCCCTCATAATGTGGTTTAATAACACATAATACATTTTAATATTAATATAGTATTTAACCACTATTCGAGGTGTGTCCTCCGCCTTGTGACCCTTACCTTGTCGGCAGAGGACTTTCACAACTACTATTTGAAGTTGTGCACTTACTAACATATAAGACATTTTAATATTAACATGTTATTTAATCACGTAGTACTATTTTAGAGTGTGTACGATTCCGCCTTGTGACCATATATAGCCTGGACATCCGCAACCACTATCCAAGTTTGTACATGGAGTAATATAAACTTGTAACCCTTGCCAGCAAAGGACCTTAAGGAAGTAAACTCGTTTAGATTGTCAATTGTTGACTGATTCAAACTAATTAAGAAGACCAATAAACAATTTGATCAACTTGACTAAGATTGCCCTCCAACATAGTATTTATTCTTAAAGTGTCGAAATTGAAGTGGGCAAAATGTGATGAGGGGCTTGGTGCATGGTACAGGCCGGCGTGATGAAGGGTCGTGGGGTCTTCCATTTCGAATTGCAAACACAATAATGGCTGTGTTGTGGTTGACTGATTAGTGGTCTCATCTGGTGGCGACCAAAGTGAATTAAATAGTACTTCGCACCACCTTTGTTGTAAAAACATAATTATTACCAAAACCCCAAAATATGGTTACCAAGACCACATCACCTCTCATCCTTCAATATATAGTGCCGCTCCCCCTTTCACATCTGATCTTCATCCCAAAAACACTATCTTCCAGCCCACAACAACATTAATTAGATCACAGCAATTAAGTTTCAGGATGTCTGTAAGTAGTGCTCTTTTTGTGTGCATGTGTTATTGTTTTAATTTAATTTGTTCAATATAATTCGCAGCAACATATATATATGCTAAAATGGCATGCAAATACTACATGTATGTGACAATAATAATGTGAGTGGACTTTGAGTGTTATATGTATTATATTTTGCAGATGGTGGTGGTTAGAGTTCCAACCCTTGATTGTGATGGTTGTGCTGCCAAGATTAGAAAAGCTCTTCTCAAGCTTAAAGGTAATTTACTCTTCAATTAATGCCCGGGTTGCATGCGACCGATGAGACAGTCTTACATTGAAAAATTAAAAATAGTGAAAAAGTTCAATTTTTACCCACGAATATTGTTAGTTTGAGTTCGTTGGGTTTTTTGTATGCAGAAGTATTTTTGGTATTTGTTGGGTGGAGGTCAGTTAAGGACAAGTCTAATACCCCGTGGCTGGGGAATTATTGAGCGGAGGCGGGTAAAAAGCTTAGGGGGTCAAGTGTCCCGAAAAATGTGATGGCCATTGCGCTTTCACTATTAGTTATAACTTTTGACTTCGGTGTGATCCTAATTAGGGGTATATTAATTTTTTGTGACTTCGTTATAACAATATCGAGTCTTGAAGTTATATTAGTTCAATTTACCTTTTCATGAACTCGACTCAAAATGGGAAGGGGTATCCTTTGTTTTGTAGGGGTGGATGACGTGGACATAGAGATGGAGATGAAGAAGATCACGGTGAGAGGATACGGTTTGGAAGAAAGGAAAGTGGTGAAGGCTATAAAGCGAGCGGGGAAAGTAGCGGAGCCATGGCCGTACCCGGTGGGGTCCTCACATTTGGCTTCCTTCTACCGCTACCCTACTCAGATCGCCGCCCATTACTACCAGTCCATGATCTCCTCCGCCGACTTAGCCGCCCCAGCCGTTCACGCCTTCTTCCACACGCCGGCACTTTACTCCGTCGCGGTGGCGCCGGACGAGGCTTTTGCCTCTATCTTCAGCGATGATAATCCCCATGCATGCACCATTATGTGAAGTAATCCTAAATTAAATCATTTTAGTTTTTTTTTTTTTTTTTTTTTTTTTTTCAGATCATTTCAAACTCTTATCGGGAGAAACTATTAAGTTAATTATTTTGATTTGTATAAATATGAGTAGAGATCTGTTTGATCCCCAAATGTTATCATTAAAAAACACAAGAAAAAGATATATAATTTTGTATCATTATGAAATTAATATTTTACAGAGTAATTTTTGTGTTTACAAATTAATAGTGTGTTTGGAAACTGGAAAATGATTTTTAGAATTTTTGGTGTTTGGCTAAGCAAAGAAAAGGGAAGTCAAAGAAAAATGGCATGCAGTCAATGAAAAATAACCCATCTTTTCCGGAAAATGACTTCCCCTATTTTTGGAGGGAAGTCATTTTCCACTCTCCCTTCAGCAGAACTAGAGAGGCAACATCTTCTCCATTTACTTCCAATAGTTGGTCTGATTTTCGTCTTCTTCCACCGTCACTTCTTTTTCATCTTCTTCCACGTCTTTCCAGATCTGATTTATGGCTGTGGAAACCACCGGAAACCATGGTTTCTGGGTGCGGAAACCAGATGGTTTTCGACAGTAGAAACTAGTTGATTTTCGTTCTGGGTTTTTCGCGTTGCCTTCCTCCTTCAACAACATTCACACAAGCGCAGAAACTAGAGAGCTCTCTGCTTTCCGACCGGAAACCAGAGAGCTTTTCTCTGGTTTCCAGCAGCTTTTCTCTAGTTTCCGGCCGCGGAAACCAGAGAGCTCTCTGGTTTCCGCCTTTCCGGCCGGAAGCCAGAGAGAATGGCGGAAACCAGAGAGTTTAGTTGTTGTTGTTTTTTGTTTTGTTGTTGTTGTTGTTGTTTTTTTTTTAATAAATAATATTATTCGATTTTATAAATAAATATTATTATTTATAATATTATTGTAAATTTTATACATTTTAAAAAAATAATTAATTATATAAAATGTTTAATTATACAATTCTACATCATTTCCAGAAAATGAGCCAAACATCAAAATACAGTTTTTCATTTTGCAGCCAAACACCGGAAAGGAAAATGACTTTTGAAAAATGACTCATTTTTCAGTAGTCATTTTCCTGCTTTCCAAACGGACTCTAAATGTACTAATAATATGTGCAATAATTTACTATTATTTATGTCGCTATTAATAGTGGCAATGTATTTCATTCTCTACATTGGTGAAATATTAAATGTACAATTAATAAACTAATCTAAAGGTTAGTTTGAAAATCTGATGAAAAATGTTTTTCTTAAATTGATTTTTAAAAAATAACTTTTTTTTTGAAAAATATTTTAATTTTCTAGTATTTTTTTGAATGTCAAAAGATTATTTTATATTTTTCTGTTTGGTTCATTTCTCTGAAAATTAACATATTATTTGTAATAATAATAATAATAATAATAATAACAATAATAATAATAATAATAATAATAATAATAATAATAATATTATTATTATTATTATTATTATTATTATTATTATTATTATGTGGTAATTGTGGTGGTGGTATGGTGGTGGTGGTGGTGGTGTGGGGATGACGGTGGTGGTATGGTAGTGGTATCAAGACTTTTGAAAACCTGCACACCTAAAGAAAATACACAATTAGCTGACACAGTCAATACCAAGTAAAAAAAAAAAAAAAAAAAAAAAAAAAAAAAAAAAAAAAAGAGGAAAAATAGCACTTTTTCCCTAGGTTATATACTTAATTATAGCAGTTTCCTCTCTTAAATTATCAATTGTTATACCCTGCATCATGGCGCGCATAGCACTGTGCGTCCCGCGCCTCCCAAAACGACGTCATTTTGGTAAGTTATGTAGGGAGTTGACGTGATTATGTGTATTTGTTTATACAATTATGTGTATTTGTTTATACAATTATGTACATTTTTATACAATCATGTATATCTTTTTTATACAATTGTGTACATCCGAAACATAAAATTTATGTGTATTATGTTAAGAGTTGATGTTTATTATGTTAAAAGTTTATGTATATTATGTATTATGTTAGATTATATGTATTATCTTTAAAAAATATATGTGTATTTTGTTATACAATTATGTGTATTCTAGTATAAAGTTATGTACATTTTTAAACATGAGATTTTTTTTAAAAGAAAATTAACCGCCAACACATGGTAGAGATATTTCAAAAAAATAAAATAAAATTGAAACAACGTCGTTTTGCATCAGGGCGCACAATGCAATGCGCACCCTTGTGCAGGATATAAATTGCCTTAAATTATTCAAGTGGCTGTCCCCACCCCCCCCCCCCCCCGAAGTGTTAAATGGACATACTTCCCCTTAAAAAAAATATTTTATTTATTTTTCTTCTCCAACGAATTATGACCACAATTTGGTTCAAACCAAACAGACATTATAGCAACCAAATCGAAATATTCCAATTACAATTTAGAATCGAAACCCGATATTTAGAGTTTATTAAAATCGCGAACTGAAACGGCCGGTTCATGTTCCGAATTGAAAAAAATAAAATACATTTATTGTTAAATTTAGACTATGATACGGTTAATCCCGATGTATGTAGAGAGTATGCTGTATGTATAAACTATAATGTATGTATGAATAATCTAAAGAATAGGAAAGAGGAAGTAGTTTAAAGAGATCTTTTATTGATAATCTTCTTGTGTGTTGTAGAGAGAAGGGAGAGATTATACATTCTAGAGTGAGAGAGAGTCTAGGAGAGAAAGGGGAGGAATCCCTAACTTGGAGGGCTAAGGCCCTATTTATAGAGTCAAGGGTTGGCGGGTTGACCTTGACCCGTTGATCTTGCCCGAACCGTTTGACCTGACCCGAATAGGAGTACGGAGCGTACGGGGAGTCTGAACCCGGGTATATTCCCCATCAGACTATTTTAAAATAAAGGATAAAATTTTAAAATAATGACGGTTCAAAATCGCGAATCGAATCCGGAATCGCTGGTTCACGGTTCAGGATCCAATTTTTTCGATTCATAATTTTAATAAACTGAAATCCAAATATTGGGTTCTGGATCTGAATCATAACCGGAAACTTTTAATTTGATTGCTATAGTGTCCGGTTCAGTTCGAACCGAACCGTGGTCATCCCTACGTATACGCAATAATTTGTTTGAGAAGAAAAAATAAATAAAATGCTTACTTTAAGGGTAAAAATGTCAATTTAATATATCAAAGGGGAAAACCGTCACTTTTAGAATAATTGAGGGGACTAATGTGCTTACCTGAATAATTCAGGAAGAAAAAATGCTATATGTATATAACTCAGGGAAAAAAAGTTTTCATTTTCCCAAAAAGAAAAAAACACAACCCTTCTAGAGCCAACAGATGAGAAAAAGACTTAGGAAAGACCACCATCGAAAAGTTTAGGTTAACCTTTTTTCAATCGAAATATTTCAATTAAAGATTTTATAGAATTTCGGTTCAAAAATAAACTCAAAATTTAAGCACATACTATTTTATTTATCTACCAAAACCCATCCTATATTTGAGTATTATAACATCATTAAAGTTTAGACTATAGTACTTCTCAATGAAAAATAATACTCCCTAATAATCAAATACAATTGTTAAATAAACACTTTTCAATGAAAAAAAATAATAATCAAATACAAATGTTAAAAATGTAAATACCTACATGCCAATTTTTCTTTTATTGGTGCGAGTGCTTAACTCAAATTGGGTAGGAAAAGCAAAGACAGGAAAAGGACCATGGACTTGCCGTCGATGTGATAACTTATCTTTTTCTACCTAATATGAGTTTTTTTTTTTGTTTTTTTTTTAATTCTATTTTCTATTTTTAAAATAGTCTAAATTCAACATTATTTTATTTTTTTCGGATCTGAATCGTAACAAGAATCATCCATACTATTTCAGTTCGGTTGCTACAATGTCCGGTTTGGTTCAAATTGAACTGTAGTCATCTCTACATATAAGCAATAATTTGTTGAAAAAATATAAATAAAATAATTATTTTAAGAGTAAAAATGTTTTTTTTTTTTTTTTAACACCAAAGAGGAAAAATTACCACTTGTAAAAATAGAATTAGGAATGTGTGTGTTTAAAATGAATTTGAGGAACTTAGAATGGAAAAGTGTAAACAATTTAGGTGACGATAGAGTATTTTTTTTTTTTTTTTCACTAGTGATAATATTTCTATGTCATGCTCAAGCATTGGGGCGTCAAGCTGTGTTAGAAAAAATTCAATCTACTTTACCTTTTTGAATCCTGAAGAAGTTAAAATGATGAGTATGTACGTCTATGATATGGAAGAGATCGAACACCATTCCGACATGCTTAGTTCGTCCAAATGTTTATCAAAATGTTACTAGTGGGCAATGGATAATGCCATTATTTAATAGTATATTTATATTATGTAATGTAATACTAATAAATATTCAATATGGTATGTGAATGTAGAATTTTCATTTCTATTAATGACGAAATTAGACAAATTTGGCTTATTGCGATGAAGGTCTCACTTGGATATTGGCCAATTAGCCAATCTTGATGAGTTTCTCAACATTCTGAATCAATAATTGAATTTTTATGTTAAATAAATAAATGTCATTGCTTAATTAGTACATTGTGGTATCTGTTTAAACATACTTTCTCAACCTAATAAAACACAAAGAGTGATCTCATGACCTCCCACATGAAAGAGATCACTACATGCCATCTGAGCACAAGATGCTTGGCTCATTGCTTAATTAGTTACTTTTTCAATTGGACAATTTATATCATATGTCAAAAATATAAAATTTAATTCTCATGGTCATTATTGATTTTTATAAGTTCCTCTTGGTGAAGCTAATTACTTAACTTTTTAATTCCCATGATCATTATTGATACAAGAGCAACCGATTATCATACTGAAATATAGAGAAATTAAGACAAAAATCTAAGAATGGGATTAGTTGATACCAATTTGACCACCAGAGTCTTCATCCTCCCTATAGGTCTATCATTCTCTTTTTTTTTTTTTTTTTTTTTTGAAGATGAAAAACTAATTCATTAAATCATGAGTAAGAGTGTTCACAAGAAAAGATGGTGGAGAATCAAGCCATTCTCCGCAACCTGACACAGAAAAGGCCTCCCTAACAACACTATGGGCGGCACTATTCGCAGATCGCTTCACACCGTAGAAATCAACATTTACAGAAGCTAAATTTTTAATGTCCTCAACTAAAAAAATCAAAAGCAGAATTAAAAGATGGCGAACGTACAACATAAAAAACAGTTGGAATAAGGTTCAAATTGGCCACTGAAAGTAACCTGAAAATGCAATTAGGCCACTGAACGAAAAAAAAGTGCAATTAGGTCACTGAACACTTCAAAAATGTGCAATTTCACCTATAGCAGGTTACCCTCAATTTTAGCAGGTTATCTGCTTACGTGGCAGCTGAGTCGGCATTTTTAATAAATTTTAAATCATTTTTAATAAATTTTAATAATAAATTTTTATTTAAAAAAATTTTTAAAAAATAAAAACGACTTTATTTTATTTTTTATTTACTTTTTTTTTCAATTTTTTATAAAATTTATTATTAAAATTAATTATTAAAAATTATTTAAAATTATTTAAAAATTATTAAAATGTCAACTCAGCTGCCACGTAAGCAGGTAACCTGCTAAAATTGATGGTAACCTGCTATCCGGTGAAATTGCATACGTTTGGAGAGTTCAGTGGCCTAATTGCACGTTTTTGGAGTGTTCAATGGCCTAATTGCACTTTTTGTTCGTTCAATGGCCTAATTGCATTTTCAGGTTACGTTCAGTGGCCAATTTGAACCTTATTCCAAAACAGTTTGACAGTCCGTTTCCACATCAACACCTCCCATCCCAGTAGTCTTTAACCAACTCAAAGCCTCCCGTATGCTAAATGCCTCAGCCTCTTTAGCCATAAAAACCCTAGGAATCCTCATGTTTCATGGCAGCAAGGAAGTTTCCATTATCATCTCTCAGGTCTATCATTCTTTTATGCAATTAATCACACTAATAGGAAAAAAGCTTTAGTTAACTAATTTAGTATGCAGTATTTGAAAGAAGAGACCAAGATTCAAATCTTGGTAGTTATAGTGTGGAGATTGTGCTTAAAGTGGACAGATCCCTTGCGTCGTTGTGCGCACCAACATTTGGCCCTGCATGTTAAGTCATTGAGTTACTGTAATTTACATCATCTCAAACGCTCCATTGGATCGAATGTAATGGACCACTGGAGTTGAAAATACAAACTTTTGGGATAAAAAAAAAGGAATAAAGGCTTTTCGAGATGATTATTATTATTGTTATTTTCCCTCTAACATCATTTATGTCGCGTAGTTAATATTTTAAATTTGTAGTTTGTACATCATACTAGTATCATACTAATGGAACTTTATGGATACAATGAATCTTGAAGGCGAATTTATGGGGTCTAGAAATTAATGGTATATGGCTTATTTTTTTAAAAGATTGAATCACCAATTGGAATGAATCTTATATTTCAATAGAGTGTTTAGAATGATGTAAATAACTCAATAATTAAGTAAAATCAAATAGTAATGCACAAGATATTTATTTACTTTAGACATATTATTTTTTAAATTTAAATTTTGGTCTCTTCTCCTCTACTAAACCATTGAGCTAAGTTCCATATGAATGTTGTAAGGCTTGTAAGCTTTTGTAGCCGTCAAAATTTGCACTCAAAAAGGTCCAACTTTTCGTCTACATCATTCCACCTAAGAATTGCCTCTACCAATCCCCCTATAAAAACTGCACCTGTTGCCAAAAAGTTAATCCATTTCCTTCCCCGAGAAGCCTCAGCACCTCTGATCTTCAAAGTTCAAATGGCTCAGGTAACACTTTTCTCACTCAAACCGTTAATTCATTCCTTATTCTGGGCTCGTGTTCTTAACCATTATTTTCTGCAACAGAAAGTGGTGCTCAAGGTGCTCACAATGACTGATGACAAGACAAAGCAGAAAGCCATCGAAGCCGCAGCTGACATACATGGTATGTATGTATGTATGTATGTATGTATTCCAAGTTTCAACAGATCGGTTAAAAGCATTTAGTTTTGTGAATATTAAGTTTATTGATGATTGATCTTTCTCATCTGCCCCTTTACTTTTACAGGAGTGGACTCCATAGCCGCAGATCTGAAAGATCAAAAACTTACTGTTATAGGCCAAATGGACGCAGTTGCAGTGGTGAAGAAGTTGAAGAAAGTGGCAAAAGTTGATATAATATCAGTCGGTCCAGCCAAGGAGGAGAAGAAAGAGGAGAAGAAAGAGGAAAAGAAAGAGGAGAAGAAGGAAGAGAAGAAAGAAGAGGAGAAGAAGGAGGAGAAGAAAGAAGAAAAGAAGGAAGAAAAGAAGGAAGAGAAGAAGTGATCCATTTCATCAACCAAATCCTCCACACTTCAATGAATTTGATAGATGAAATATGAGTTTGGGGCTTTGAGTAGATTATACGCAAGAAATTTGTGACAGAATCCTTGCTGTCTTACGTATTTAAGACAAATAAACATTCAAATATTTTGCCTATGTGTGCTGTATCAATCGCTTTCCATTTTGATGTCCAAAGCAAACAAATGACCAAACCATGAGATGTTTCTACTGAAAGAAATGGTTTTTCTTTACCAAAGTTGGTGAAAATGTTGTATTTTGAGAAAGTGTTGGGCGGAGGCTGGTGAGGGTCAAGTCGAGAAGAAATAAAGTTGTCTTTTTGGCTTAGTGGTAAGCGTTTGATCTTAACAGAAAGAAGATTGGATAACATCAACAATATTGTTATGTAGTGGTTGCAAAACATTTTTAAAAAATGTGGGTATCTCACATTTGTAAACATTTGTGTCTAAATATGGTGGCAAAGCCCACTACAGAGCTCAAGCATATCAAGAATGAGAAGGTATGCCTTATACTTGCTGTGTATAATGAGAATGAAGGCACTAACTAAACATGGCAACTGAGAAGTCCAATGTAAAAACTTCTGCCCAGAATCTAGATTAGTCTCAGGAAACCATCTTTGTTTGTGCAGATCTTCTTGAATTGGATAATCTGCAGATTCATTGATTATGCATTTGATGCTGAATTAATTTTTCTTGCCGTTCTTCAGATTTCGTAACACCATGACAAGTTGCTGCCTTTCACTTTCTACCTCAGCAAATCTGAGGCTAATTTCTGAGTATCTCTCTTCCATTTCCTTGAGTTCATCTTCCATGTGCTTGTTCTTTTCTCTCAGTGATGCTACTTCGGTTAGTACCTCGTCGAGATCATATATGTTAACTGCTTGACCATTTGTCAATTTGTGCAGCTGTTTCTTGAGGTTGTCATTCTCCAGCTTTAATGAATCAGAACCATGAGCTGCTTCGTTGTGTTGAGCCTGCAGCTTCTCGATTTCTGATAGTAATGTCTCTTTTATTCGTGTGTTTTCGTCTTCTAGAGTTTGCGTTTTGGTTGATTCCTCCAAGAGTTTCAGATTGTTTTGGGTGGAAAGGTGATAGAGCTCTCTCTCATAGTGATCCTTTGTTAGTTTGAGTTGTTCGTTTGCTTTCTCCAATGATTCCTCGAGAACTTTGTTGTTCCAGAGCAGAGCGTTAGCTTCTGCTCTTGCATTATTTGCCAGCTTTTCCTTCTCGTAAATCTTTGACACCATTTCAGCTGCAATCCTGCTGATTTCCTCCTCTGCTTGTACAGCTCTTTTCTCCTGCTCGACTTTGGATAGAGCGATGGCTTCGAGAGCATCTTCAAACGCTCGTGCCTCTTTCTCGAGACTCATAATCTCGGTTTTTTGTTTGTTTATTGTCTGCATAGATTCTAGAAACTGCACTGATTGCTTTTGTATCTCATCCTCTAACTCCTTTGCTTGGACTTCAAACTGCTTTATTTTGGCCAATGCTTCCAAGAATTCTTGTTGCAGTTCAACTTTTTCTGTCTCGCTTTCCTCATTTTCCTTTTTCAGGATTGCATAATCACTTAAGAGTTGATCCTTCTGCATCTTTAGATCTTCGTTTTCTTTGCAAAGAACCTCTCTTTCCTGTAACAGTTTTTCTATCTTTTGCTTCATCTCCTCTGATTCCTTGTTTTTCTGTTCCAGCTTTTGATTAAGGTGTTTTATAGTAATGATCAGTTCGGAATTTGAGTCTTCTGTCTCTTGCAGCCTCGACTTCAATCTGTCTCTTAAGTGTTTCTCTTGCTGGCGCTCGTGCCTAAGTTCTTCAAACTTAGCCCGCGAAATTTCCATTTCTGTTTCTGATGCATTCGAGAATCTTTGATCTTTGGTTTGTAACTTGATGTTCTCACATTCTCTCATATCTGCATCTCTCTCTTGCAGGTCAACTATCTGTTCTGATAGCTCCTTTCCCCTTCTGATTTCCTTTATAATTTGTTTCCCCAGGGATTCTAACTCTGTCTCTGAAACTTCTGCTTGGCTCCCCACCATTCCAATTTGATTTTGAATCCTCTCAAGATTGTGGCTTTCAGGTTCTTGAACAATATCACCCGAAAGGTCCTCCTTAGCCACGCTTGATGCATCGATTATACTTCCATCTGAGGTATATCCCAGTGAGATATCGGTGGAGGATAGCCAACGATGATGCCTTTCGAGGGACTTCTGAAGTTTGGGATTGTGTTCATGACCGTTAAGGTCGTGTTGAACACTGGTATCATCGAGTGGATGACCCGTGAGGATGCAGTTTTGCTCGAAATCCTGTGATGTTTTGTTGCATTCTAAAGCCTGTTAAAATGGAAGTTATGAAACAGTTATCATCATCATCAGAAAATCTCTTTTCTTTGTACTCATATTTTTCATTCTATGTTTGCAGGATGCAGTAAATTGTTGGGCGTCGACCGGGTTGGTCGAGTTTAGTCCCTGCTCGATTAGAGACGTGACGTTGTGGCTTACCATGGAGGGATATGATTAAATTGTTAATGTCCATTTACTTATCACCAATTGGTTTTAAGTAGGATATGACAACCAGATAACCAAAGAATTCTGTGATTAAGCGTGTTTGATTTAGAACAGTCCCAGGGTGACCCCGGGAAGTAAATGATGCTAGAGAAGGAGAGAAAGTGAAACTTTACTTCAGTGGATGTAGTGGTTGTGTCTCCATAGCCATCTACTTCTGTTTCTGAGCAGTGTGAGCACTGATCATATGTCATCATAACTTCATTGTCTTCCTTGCTTCTGCAAATGTGAACAAAATTTGTATTTTTGTCATATATACTACCTGTTACTTAGTACAATCAAGATTGAAAAATAAGTGAAACCTTTGATCAAGAGTTCCTTGCATCTTCTGCACTGTCACCTGTTGTTCAGATGAATATTTTCAGAATATATATGTAGGGGAAGGATCCTATTAGAACTACCTCTCTTAGAGGAGCTGCAAACTACCGCTATTGTGCATCTTGTAATGTCTGATTGTGCATTCGCAGATATCTTATTGTGTATTTATAAACTTCTCTCAACTGCACTGTCAAGTATTTTCCTAAAGAACGCGGTGACATTTCTATAATTATTGTTATAATTATGATTGTGCATTTAGTAATGTTTGACTGTGCATTCGTAGATAACTGATTGTGCATTTAGAAACTTTTCACCAAATTCACTGCCAATTATTTTCCAAATGCACACAAGCATTTTCAAATGCACAATTGTAATTACAAAATGTCAAAAAAAAAAAACATTTAAAAAAAAAATCATCCATTGATTATTTTAGATGGACGGGTGAGATTAGTTTTCACATTCTGAAGAGTAGTTGACATTTGATCCCAATTCTCTATATATATATATATATGGAGAGAGGGGACTAACATGCAGAATTACACCTGAGTCTGATGGCATAAGGGGGAGAGACAGTACTAATGGTTCTGTTATCTCTGCCAGCTTTGCAAAATCCACACCAACTTCTCCCAGAAAACCAGATTTTGAGGATTTCTGAAAGAATAAGAATACAGTTAGTTAGTGTCTCATCTTCTCTTTCTTACAGATATGCACAAGTATGAGTTCCATTGTTTCTTAACAGTTGCCACAACAAAATAGTATATCTTTTCTTGAATCCTCCCGGTTTTCGGATCTCTCTCCAGTTTGATTGTTTCACACACAGGGCTCTCCCACGAACAGGCTCCTTCAACAATCTTAGCTCTTCCCATTTTCACACTTGTCCTTCTGGTATCCGCAGAGATGAGCGAAATCATCAGGCTTTTGGCTTTCAGTTGAGGCACCTGAAAGCAGTGAAATGCAAGAGAGGTGATACCAAATGTTCATTTATACAAAGCTGCAAGTTCATCAAATATCCATGGAGTATAACATTTGGCTGCTGCAGATTTCCCTGCAACTTTTAGGAGAAACTGCATACCTGGGTTGCCTGAAACTGCATCCCAAACACTGCTTTGATCTTCTCCTTTCTCCATTTTGCAGACTTGAACATGATGATCTGAAACCTTGAACTAACACACACTGCTGATTTCTTGATTGTGCTTTGTATTCTGGTGATTTAAGGTTTCTGTTTTTAACAGGAATTATGGTTGATGAAATTCTAAGTTTGATTGTCAGAATTCATATATTTCCTACATGGGCAAATGCTGTTCTTGATTGTGGGCTAATGGTATAAATTTACTATGTTTTTTATGTTTGGTTTAGCTGAAAGAGGTGAAGTCCACCTCAGTGTCACTTCAAATGCAGTTGCAAGTTTGGATGTCTACTTCTGTAGCAACCCTGTGGTCTCTTTATTCCGGTTGTCTATATCTTTTCCCTTTGTTTTTTTTTTTTTTTCCACCTCGTGAACGGGAATTCAAAATTCAGCATCATACAATGCGAGCATAATTCAGTTGAGTTGCAAATAGAACTAATCTAATCATGTTTTACATCTTACAAGATAAAACTAATTCAATTAAGTGTTAGTCGGACCCTATTTAGAAAAGTCACAATTATATCGCTCGACCTCAAATTTCTTTGAAAATTTGGAATAAGAATTACCTGTTGACTTTTTGCTATGGGCAACTTATGAGTGGCAGTGGTGTTTAGTTTGAAGATTGTTACGTAGATGGAATTAGGTTCAGCCCAACAACTTTGTGGTGGCCAATCATGGAATACTATTATTGGATCCCTCCATCTTACCAGGCAAGGGACCCACCTTAAAGGAAGACACATCTTTGGTTTATCCCACTGTGGACAACACGCATCATACGACTTGTACAATTGTTTGCTTTTAAGATAAAACAAACCCATCTTTTTTTTTTTGAAGCAAAGAGAGGGACAAAGCCCGAGAAAGAGAACTAAGAAATACAAAGCAGGTCCTCAGCGCACTGAGATTGTCGCTCAAGAACCCGTGACCCCAGCTCATGGTCTAAGGCAGCCGAGGCGGCAAATTATACCGTGCACCAATGCGCACAATACATTGTACGTTCTGGCTAAAAACGATATTGTCTTGTACTTTTTTCACGTGTTTGTTGTTAAGAGAAAAAAAAATTCATATTTCGAATGTACAAGATTGTATAATAAAAAACACATAATTTTATACTTAAAACACACAGAATTTTATACTTGCAAACACATGATTTTTATAACTGAAAATCCTCATGTTTCGAATGTACAGAATTATATAATATAAAACACATAATTTTATACATGAAAACATTGAATTTTATAACAGAAAATTCTCATGTTTCGAATGTACAGAATTATATAATAGAAAATACAGAATTTTATACCTGAAAACACATAATATTTTTTAAAAGGAATAAAAAATCTCTGTTTCGAATGTACAAAATTTTATATCTGAAAACACAAAATTTTATAACAGAATACAAAACAACGTCATTGAGGCGCGGGACGCACATGACTACGTGCGCCATGGTGCATGGTATAATGATTGGGCCGAAGCGAGGCAAACCCATCTTTGCTTTAGCCCATTGGAAAACCCGTTTTACAATTATTTTTTATTTTTATTTTTGAGAAAAAACCCGTTATACAATATTATCATTAAAAATAAAAATGAAAATCACAACACATGATATCTGGAGTTTGAATATATATATATATATATATATATATATATATATATAAACTAAAGGATAAAACATATATTAAAGCAAACTTGAAATACAATTAGGTGGGCTAGACTCTCACACCCCACCTACATATATAACAACGTTCTTAAAATTGTGCAAATAAATAAATAAATATACGATAGCTACTCAATTACAGGACAAAAAATTACTTTAATAGGAAAAAAAATCTCTCAATTTTTAAAGTTTGAACCAATGTTAGGTTGTATAAGTGTAACTTTTTATAATGTACAAGATTGTATAGTGAGGGGTTGATAAGCCCTATAGTATCCTATACAATATCTACCATTTTCCCTTTACGGGGTGTTTGGTTGGAAGGAAAGAATTAGATGGGGAAAGAATAAGGTGAGAATAAAGTAGGAATTCAAATTACGTTGTTTGGTGGGGAGAAATAGAATTTGAGAGTTGAGAAGGAAATAAGTGGTATAAAGACTAAAATACCCTTGTGTAATAATAATAGTAAGGAATAAGGTTCAAATTGGCCACTGAACGTAACCTGGAAATGCAATTAGGCCATTGAACGAAAAAAAGATGCAATTAGACCACTGAACACCCAAAAACGTGCAATTAGGCCACTGAACACTACAAACGTATGCAATTTAACCGGATAGCAGGTTACCATCAATTTTAGCAGGTTATCTGCTTACGTGGCAGCGCATTTTTAATAATTTTTAAATAATTTTTAATAACTTTTAATAATAAATTTTTTTAAAAAAATTGAAAAAAAATAAATAAATAATTAAAAAAAATTAAATTTGTTTTAAATAATTTTTTTTAAAAAAAACTTTATTAAAAATTATTAAAAATGCCAATTCAGCTGTCACGTAAGCAGGTAACCTGCTAAAATTGATGGTAACCTGCTATCAGGTGAAACTGCATACATTTGGAGTGTTCAGTGGCCTAATTACACTTTTTTTTTTTTTTCCGTTCAGTGGCCTAATGCATTTTCAGGTTACGTTCAGCGGCCAAATTAAACCTTATTCCTAATAGTAATAACAACTAAGTGTAATATTGTTATTTCATTTGTTTTTCCTTTCCCAAATTCATTGAATTGCAATTCATGGGGTACCCCCATGAATTGCAATTCAACAAAAGAAGGGAATTGAAATTCCCTCCCACCAAACAATGTAATTGAGGAATCCATTGAATTGCAATTTAACTACAACGAAATTACAGTGAACCAAATGCCCTATTAGAGCAAGTTCATTGGTAAACTCAATTATGACTTTTTGTAAAAGTTGAAGAGAAGAAAAAACGTAAATTCTAGAGTGATTGTCAATTGACGATCACCCTAATGAGTCTTTAGGTGTGCAAGTCACGTCTGCGTAACTTCTTTATTATTTTCATTTCTAAAATAAACCTCAGTTAATATGTTGATCCATTTTTTTTTTTCTAATCACTTATCTCTCATCCACTTTGAAAACCTATGACAAAAAATCATGAAATTTTTTACAATAGAAATGCTCTAGCTATTCTTTAAATTGTAGCCTTGCAAGTGAGACCAACATAGCCCCAACTACACCCCCCCCCCCCCCCCTCCCCTTATAATTGACAACAAATGGGACCATATGCAATAATTACTTGCCCAATTTTCTTCATTGTTGACAAAATTATCTTTAATGAAATAATTGCTTAGTTAATTCTATAATAGGTGGTTACTTGTAATAATATAACATTGAAAAATAAATTTATAATGACACAAATTTAGAGTTTCAAAGGGTGGTTCATATTTGGGCATTCTTCCTTTTTTCTTTTTTTTTTTTTGGGTCATATTGTTTGAGTTGTTTTCATCCCTGCTTCAAACCAATTCCCATCCTTTCAAGATTTTCATGGTTAATGATTTAAAAAAAAATTAAAAAAAATAATCTGGAATATGATTCTTGTATCAAAACATCACAAGTTTGATTATTATTAAGATTCTCTCACGAACAAACTTGCATCCTTGGATAGGGGGTGATGTTTATTTCGTCATTAAAAAAAAAGAATAAAATATTTTAATTATCAAATAAAAATAAGTATTTAGTTATCTTTTTATTTATAAAAATCCTCAAATCAAATGTCTTCTTAGGTATTTTCAAAAAAAAAAAATGTCTTCTTAGGTTATAATCATACTTTGGTAAAGGTGAAAATAACAAAGGAATATCTTTAATAATTATAGTTGTAGTGTGAAGTGGTATCGTCCTTATTATTTGTTTATTAAATAAAGATAAATTATATTAGAATCAAGAGAAATATATAAATAAACACAAGGCATACCTTGGTTAGTACAAGTCCATAACAAACACATGAGGAAAAAATGTATATCACGAAGACAAAGAGATCAAAACTACAACTTGAAAAAAAAAAAAAAACCAAAAACAAAAACAAAAAGAAAAGAAGTTAGGTATAAGACATAAATAATATTGAACATGTATTATGACAAAAATAATGTATCTTTGTTGTCTTGGTATACTAATATACTATAAAGTTATATATACACCAATTGTCTATATGATATTATGTCGTAAATAAATTAGTCAAAGCATATGAAGTTAAAAAATAAAATCGATTACTCTAAAAAAGATTAATAAGTGAAGTATAATTTTCATATTAAAAAGTCACAAGTTTAATACTTGTTAATACCATTTGATCGAGTTTGTCACAAATGTTGTTTATGAAAATAAATTTTAGGTAGTTGGGGTAGTTGAAGGAAATGGGAGGGATAGAGAAGGGGTGCGTGGGTGGTGAGTGGTGGGAGGGTAAGTGATAAAATAAATTTGTAAAGGGGGTGAAGTGTTAAGATGTGTAAATTTGGGGGACCAAAATGTAGTTAAACATTTATTTTAGTCCTTATCTCTTGTTCATAAAGACAAAATTGAGCTAATTCCACCAAAGTTTCCTTTGTCTTTGATAGCAATTTTAAATTTAGTCATAAATTATCGTTTTTGTCATTTAACAACCCAGACTATTAGTTTTTGGACACTTTTAGTCATTCTCATGATTTTTTCTATTTTTAGTAAGGATATTTTTGTCTATTCATATTTTTCTTTTGTTATTTTTCCTTTTCAACCGATTTAATTAGTTTAGAACTTTACTAAAAACCTGTTGAAAAATATTGTTACTAAAAATTTGAGGTTACCTAAAGTTTTAAATCAATTAAATTGGTTGAAACTAAAAAAATAGCAAAAGAAAAATATGAAAAGACAAAATTGTCCTTACTAAAAATAAAAAAAGTCATAAAATTGATTAAAAGATGGCAAAGCTGATAGTTGAGACTAAATTTAAAATTGTCACTAAAGACAAATGATCTTTAGCGGAATAAACTCAAACAAAATTCGCCTCAGGCGCTCCCATACTTCAACCATATAAGACTAGTGTTATAAATTACAAAGAGTTAATACCATTTTTACGAAAACTCAAACTTATAATTCTAATATGAAGGAGAGACTTGGTGACACTAAACTACGAAGTATTGATAGTTCCATTATATATCATTGTTCATAATTTGTTATTTAATAACGAATTGAGCTAACCGTGGTGACTATTTGAGTCCCTATCGTTCACGTGAAAATTGAGTAATTGACGAAAAGTCAGTCTGTCGTCCAGAGCCAAGAGGACTCTGGTTGGTGGGATAAGAAGACACGAGTACACAACCACCCTATTGTGGGCGGCGACGTGGCCTCTTGACCCAAACAAGATAGACCGATCCTCATCTCTATTAATCCATTTGAAATTTGGGCTTCTAGAGATTACGAAATTCTTTCAACACGTACTGTTTTAGGTCATCTCTTTGCTCAGGGAACAGTGTACTGTGAAGAGTTGAAGGAAAGAGACATGGCGATAGCCGCAAAGGCCTTGCCTTTCTCGTGCGTGGCACACGCAATTGCTCTAGTATTAGCGGTGCTGGTTTTGGTATGGAACATTCACTTCAGGGGTGGATTGGCTTGGGAAGATACCAACAAAAATCTCATCTTTAACGTACGTAATCTTTTGTTCTTGTCCTTCATCAATTACTACCAACAAAAATCTCTCACTTGTGATGTACCTTGTGTCCCTCTACTGTTTGCATTCACCACTTATTTAATCTGCTAACTATCAGAGGTTATGTCTCTTATGCTGATATACATATTATGGAATATAAAGATTGCTTCTCTGTTTGAGAATTTGTTGTGTTTTTCTTGGGTGCATTAGATTACCCTTAAGTTTGTGATCACTACTTGTCTTACCTATTGCAATGTGTTTGTTGAATTTGAAGTCAATATTTTTAGATTTTGGCTGTGTATGGTGTACCTATGATGTTTCATAAGTTCACAAAACTTCTAAGAATGGTTCATAGCTGTTTTTGTAATTAAGAATATTAATTACTTCTCAAAGACCTTGTGGTCAAGCGGCTTGAATGACTCATTGGGCAGGGTCAATAGTACTTAAAAAAAGAAAAGAATATTAATTACTCTTTTTCCTCAAATGAAATGCACTTTAGGGGTTTAATTGAAAGAGTTTCAAGGTCTAATTGAGAAAATAAAGTCATTTCTTAAATGAAGAATTGTTTCTAGATTAGCCTTTCCCATGCCATATCTCTTATTTAGTGAGGGGCTAAATTAGGTGAGAGCATCGGTATCTGTGCCCACAAGGAGCCCACTACATTAGTTGTAACTCCCACACTACGACTGCTAGGATCAATCATGTGTTCTTGCCCACAATCTACCACTCAAGAATAAACTGAGCTGCCCGTGTGGGCCATATTTCTCGTTTCTTTCTCACAATCTATCACCCAAGAACAAACTGATCTGTCCATGTGGGCCATATTTCTCTTTTCTTGTATCTGTGCTATGTAGCTGCTGAGTAGTAACTGCTTCTTTGGTTTTCAGTGGTTTCCCTACCTTATCCAGTGTGAATAGTTGGAAAGATGAGGATGGATTGCTAGTTTTATCATGATGTGGCTTGTAGATGACCATTTGTATCATAGTTTTCATTCTATTTTGTTCTTTTTGTTTTACAGCTTCACCCTGTTTTAATGCTTATTGGCTTCGTTATTCTTGGAGGAGAAGGTGAAGGCACTATCACCTATTGTTTTCCTTTTTTTGATTCCCGAGTTACTAATGGACCTCCGGTTTCTTTTCTGAAACTGCAGCTATTATGAGCTATAAATCGCTCCCATTGAAGAAAGAAGTGAAGAAAGTGATCCATCTGGTGTTGCATGCCATTGCCTTGGTGCTTGGTATCGTGGGAATATGCGCAGCATTTAAGAATCACAATGAAAGTGGCATTGCCAATTTGTACAGTTTACATTCCTGGATTGGAATTGGGGTTGCTGTTCTTTATGGCATTCAGGTAATTTAGTTTTATCGTAAACTTTGGTATACACATGACCATTCTGTTATGGCTTTTTAAGGCTCGATGTCTATGAAGTAATAACCTGTCTTGTACTATGTTAATTCAACGATTACCATGTTGAGCACAAAACCTGCACGTGATGAGGATCAGGAAGAAACGCTAGTTTCTTCAATTTGCAGAAGTTTTCTTTTGCGTTTGTAGATTAGAACCTTGCTATCTTGGCTGATCCAATCATATAATAATCGCCTTTCTTGATCAAGAATCCGAGCTCTCATTTTACCTGATGACACATGATTTGCAGTGGGTTTATGGCTTTGTGGTGTTCTTCTACCCGGGTGGAACAGCAGATATCAGACGCGAGTCACTTCCTTGGCACGTGCTCTTTGGCACGTTTGTGTACATTTTAGCTGTTGCCAACGCCTTGTTAGGATTCCTCGAGAAGCTCACGTTCCTTGAGAGCTCTGGCCTGGACAAATATGGGTCTGAGGCCTTTCTTGTCAACTTCACTGCTATTTCTACGGTTATATATGGAGTCTTTGTGTTCTTGACGATCCTTTCTCAGGCTCCCACCGAGGATGATCACAGTTACTCTGCAATATGATGGCATATATCCACTATCATTCTACCTGTGGACATAGACAGATCCCTATTCCCCCTTTGTGTTATAAATTATAATACAAGCAGGCTGGACTTAAAGCTTTCTTTGTTCTTCAAGTAGTTGTGTAACACAACTCAGTGTATTTCTCAGGTTATTATATGTATGTTGAAAAACATGTGGTTTATATATGATCTACTTTGCATTTGAGACTAATAATTATCTGTTTTTTTAGTACTACTAGCCTTGTTACAATGTAGTATCTGTTTATAGCTATTTTCTCAACCTATTGAAGCATAAAAAGTTAATACCACTCAACTAGGATTCAAACCCATGACTTTCCATTTGGAAGAGCCACTTCATGTCACTAGACCACAAGGTCATACATCCAATATATATATATATCTTTTTTGAGTGACGATTGAAACCCTCAGTCACTATTTGAGAGCTTGCTATGGATAAATCTCACCTTGTGACCTTATTTAGCAAAGGACCATAAGGAGGTTTTCTCAAACTAAGAAGGCCAATAGGTTACTGTCACATTTAGTAAAACTTAGAACCTTATGGTTATCAAGTCAACAGTCTGTCCACTTAGTCGGAGTTTCTACTGTCATACAACTATTAAGCTAAAAGATTCATTCTTATATGTGTGCAGTATGCGTGCGCAATGTCAAAAAGCTCTAGACCATATTTTCTGTATAAAAGTCAAATTCTACGAGCGTGATTCTACCTAAACCTAAATTAGTCTCGTACTAGTAAAGATCCAGGATGTTATGCCCAAAAAAACTTCTACAATGAGACAACAAAACAAGTTTTTGTAAAGGTGGAAAGGATGATAGATGTGTCCAGGCAGCAGTGTTCTAGCCACACATACAGGGAGTTTGCCAGCTCAAAGTGGGTACTGGATGCATATTTTCTTAGACTCATTTATCTGGCACAATTATAGATGCCCTTTCGTTTTCAGGATGCTTTTGAATTGATATCGACATAAAATTTACGTTTATTGTTTCATATATTTACTTAAATCGGATTACTTTATTTTAAATGTATTATCATTTTATTGTAAAAAAGAAGATAAAGAAGGGTGGAGACAAAAGAGAAGCGATGATTGTTTGCTTTTAGTATTGTTCTTCACTTTTGGTGTGATTAAGTGGCTGCCATTAATGACAGGACCAATATATTATTTACATTTTTGTGAGAACAATGATTAAGGTAAGCGACGAGAAAATTGGGCCAGCTGTATATTGAGTGTGACAACAAACGGATATGTTTCCACCCTTTAAAGAAAATATTCAGTTGCGTAACCCAATTTCCTATGGGGCCTCTTCGATCACTCTATTGTCGGCTGAGCCATGCGGCAACAAGGTTAATTAAGATTTAAGAAAACTGTAACTTTCGGGTATACTTAAATCAATAAAAACATGATTCTCGTATGTTTTTTTAACACCTTCTTAATTAAGTTTATGACTCAAAATATCTTTTTTAATGAAAAGACTGCAACTTTCCTGCTGTCAAAATCCTGCGATGATTCTGGGTTTCTGTTCGACTGTTCATGTGTTTTTTGAGTGGTTGGATTTTCATATTTGTAGTGGTTTTCTTCAATGGTTGTTGGGGAATTTGATAAGATGTTGGAAACTGAATAACAGCAGAAGAACCCCTGCAAGTCTGCAAGTCTGCAACTGTTAAGCTGTCTGTAATCGCACATTTTGCTTCATCAAATGCTCTTATAATGATTGAGAGAAAACATTTTTTAATTTTGTATATATTCAAATCTATAAACGGAAGAGTACATTTATACAATTTTTTTTTTTTTTTTTTTTTTTTTTTTTTTTGCGTTATTTGATAAACGACGACAAATTGTAAATTCTTTAAAATTATTTCGATAAAGTGACAATATTTATATTATTTTAATTCATTTTTCAATTTAAATTTTCAGTTGTGCGTATTACTCCCTCCGTCTAATTTTATGTTCCTGGTCTAATTTTTAATGGAAACCAAGGTTAGCTGGGATCATGCAGAACGACTCCGTGTTAAGCTTGGATTCATGGTCTTTATTATGTTAATAATACTGGTTTGAGCGGTGGATTGGCTCTGTTATGGAGAACATAACACGGCAAGATTGTTGAACTATTCGAAGAATCATGTAGACGTGGAAGTGAGTATTTCGGGATTTAATAAGTGGAGGATGACAGGTTTCTACGGCTTCCCAGAGCGAGGAAGGCGGAGTGACTCTTGGGAGCTTATTTGTTCATTAGCTCACAGATCAGACCTCCCATGGGTAATGATAGGGGATTTTAATGATCTTTTGTTTCAGTATGAGAAATGAGGGGGAAATCCCTATCCAGACATCCTCCTCCGTGGCTTTGGGGATACTATTGAGGATTGTGATTTATCGCAGTTACCGATGACAGGGTATCCGTATACATGGGACAAGGGAAAGGGAACATCGAACTAGATAGAGGAAAAATTAGACAAGGTTTTGGCTTCCCAGGGTCGGCGAGAGTTGGTGGCTGCGGCTAGTGTGCTGAATATATTAACCCGAAATTCTGATCATTCTGCTCTTTTCCTTGGGATTCTGAATCTTCGGGAAAGGGGGTGGTGTGAAAAGAGGGTTTCGTTTTGGGATGCAGAAGTGTGGTAGAAAATTCTTGGGATGAAGGAAGGAGTAGGGGTTTGCAGGAGTGTATTACGTTTTGTGGAAACCAATTAACATGCTGGGGTGGAGATCGATTCCATAAATTCGACGAACAGATAATGAACCTACGGAAAGAACAAATGCGCTTAAGGGGATGTACAGACCCGACCTCCCTGGCCGAGTTTCAGTGTCTCGAAGAGTGCCTAACTCGCATCGAAACACAGGAAGATGCTTATTGGAGGCAGAGGGCCAAGTAGCATTGGCTCAAGGATGCGGATGCAAACACAAAATTCTACCACAGGTACGCTTCTCACCATAAGAAAAAGAATACTATTTCTAAAATCATGAATGACAATGGGGATTGGGTCAAAGGGGAGGCCATGAGGAATGTTGTCCTGGATTATTATCGTAATATCTTTTGTTCAAGTTCTCCTGATATTAATGAGGGTTTCTTTGAGAATATTCAACCGCGGGTAACACAGTCACATAATGAGGCGCTACTGAGGCCTTTGGACGCTGATGAGGTAAAATCTGCACTTTTTTCAATGTTTCCGGATAAGGCACCGGGACCGGATGGAATGAATCCGGGTTTCTATCAACACTTGAGGGATGTGGTGGGGAGGGGGGGGGGGGGGGGGAGATGTGTCAAACTTTATTGTAAATTGCCTTAATACTCGCTCCTTCCCTGCTAGTTTGAATGATACGGACATATCTTGATCCCTAAAAAGAATAACCCAGAATTGGTCTCAGATCTTAGACCCATAGCCTTAAGTAATGTGATATACAGGATTATGGCTAAGGTTATTACAGCCAGAATGAAACCATTAATGGGGGATATTATATCTGACTCCTAGAGTGCTTTTATACCTGACAGACTGATTACAGATAATATAAAAATAGAAAACAATGCGGGATGACAGGGTGGGGGGCTTTAAAACTAGACATGGCAAAAACCTATGATCGTATGGATTGGTCATTTTTGCATAGTATGTTTCTGGCATTGGGTTTTGATGTTAGATGGGTGGAACTTATTATGTTGTGTGTTACCACAGTATCCTATAGTGTATTATTGAATGGTTCCTGAAGCAATCTAATCACCCCAACCCGTGGTTTAAGACAAGGTGATCCTCTGTCTCCCTATCTCTTCATTATTTGTACTAAGGGTCTTTCCTTATTACTACAACAGGCGCAGTCATGGTTGCAGGGTTGCTAGAGGTGCCCCTCTATCTCCCATCTGTTATTTCCTGACGATAGTCTGCTTTTCTTTAAGGCAAATGTTCAGGAGACTGAGGTAATTAAACATTGTTTATCGCTATATGAGGAAATGTCTAGGCAAGCGGTTAATTATCACAAGTCGAGTATATGCTATAGTAAAAATACACGTGAGGATGTCAGGGAAGAGGTGGCAGTATCTTCGGGGTTGTGCAGGCTCCTAATTTTGGTAAATATCTGGGGCTTCCATCGTTTGTGGGGAGAAATAGAAAGGCAGTTTTCTCATACATTGAGGATAAAATCAGATAAAGGATTGGATCGTGGAACAAGAAATTATTATCACAGACTGGTAAGGAGGTTTTATTTAAAAGTGTGGCCCAATCTATGCCCACATTCTCAATGAGCGTCTTTTTACTACCTATGACAGTTTGTACAGCTATTGAGCGAACCATGAATCGCTACTGGTGGGGATCTAGAAATCACCAGGGCATCCACTGGAAAGCATGGGATAAATTATGTATCCCTAAAAGATATGGAGGGTTGGGTTTTAAAGAATTACGTGCTTTTAACCTAGCTATGTTGGGTAAGCAAGCATAGCGTTTTCTTACAAAACCTGAGTCCTTGGTTTCGAAAGTATATAAAGCCAGGTACTACCCCAGAGGAACTTTCTTTAATGCATGTTTAGGGAATAATTCCAATTTCTGTTGGCGCAGTATCCTGACAGCATAGGAATTAATTTGTGGCGAGGTTCAGCGCAGAATTGGGGATGGAAAATCAACTCTTATTTGGGACCATCCATGGCTCCAGGATGAGCAGAATCCGATGATAAATACTGAAAAACCGCCCCAATTGGCTCAGCCGACTGTGATGGAATAATGGATCAGGAAACTGGGACCTGGGATCACGCTATTCTCACAGATATTTTTATTCAACTAATGTGACATGAATATTAAAGATACCCGAATCACCAGATTATGAAGATATGTGGTATTGACATGGGGACCCTAAAGGTATTTACTCAGTAAAGAGTGGATACAAACGGGTTGTTGGAAACTATGTTGAGACAACAGGCACCTTTGATAAATGGCTCAAGTTATGGAGACTCAAGATCCCCCAAAATGGAAGATTTTTTTATGAAGAGCTTTTTAAGTGATATACTTCCCACTACAAAGAACCTGATTATAAAGAGAATGGAGGTTGATCCTACTTGTGCCATGTTGGGATCATGCATGAGGATACTATGCACTCTCTAGTCAGATGTGATTATGCAAGGGCCATTTGGACTCCATCCCACCTTCCAATCCCCAATAGTGTGACAGATATTTTTCATACTTGGTTTAGTGATTAATTAATTTTCTAGATGATAATGGGA